TATATTTGCAGCAAGCGAAATACCACTTCTTGGGTGCATCGTTGGTAAGAACGGTGTACGTCCTGATCCCGAAAAGATCAAGGCGATCACCGACTGGCCTGTGCCGGTCGATGTCAAAGGTCTTCGAAAATTCCTTGGGCTAGCGGCGTATTTGCATAAGTATTCACGCAATTACGCCGAGATGACTGTGCACCTCTCTCGTTTGTTGAAAAAGAACGAGAGGTGGTTATGGAACGCTGAATGTCAACGCTCCTTTGAGGGTATCAAGCAGAGCTTGATACAATCCCCAGTCCTAGCAATAGCCGATCAGGACAGGCCATTTCATGTGGTCTGTGATGCCAGCGATTTCGCAATCGGCTGTGCATTAATGCAGTACGACCTTGAAGGCGTTGAACGCGTCGTCTGCTATCAGTCGCGTCAGCTGCAACCAGCTGAGCGGAACTATCCAGTGCATGACAAGGAACTCCTTGCCATGAAGTATGCACTAGCGAAGTTCAGAGTCTATCTATTAGGAGATAGACCCTTCGTTGTTTACACTGACCATGCGTCCTTACGCACGGCAGTGAACAGCCCGCACCTTTCACAACGAATGGCGCGGTGGTTGTCATTCTTTGCGGAATACAACTTTACGGTCGAGTACAAACCAGGACGACTTAATGTCGTCGCTGATGCACTCTCACGTCGTCCCGACTTTGAAACAGTCGCGAAACCCAACAGTGAGACAGTCACTGTTGCGGTTATGACGTCCTCAGTTCCATCTACAACGTTGTATGATGATGTGAGGCGGGCATACGCCCAAGATGGTGAGATAGTGAAGTTGTTGTCACATCTCTCCCAACCATCTCGAGAATCGTTGAAACGATTGTCGTCTGCGTATCGATCTGCATCAGATCGATACACTACTCGTAACGGTTTACTGTACTATACAGCCGTTTCTGGTGACACACCACGTGTTGTCATTCCAGATGATACTGATCTGCGTTTGCGGATCATGTTCGAGTATCACGATGCTCCTATAGGAGGACATCGTGGCCGAGAGAAAACATATCTCACGGTAAGTCGAGACTTTTACTGGCCCCGCCAGTATCAGTTTGTGCGAAAGTATGTTCGCGCATGCGAAGTCTGCCAACGAGTGAAGTCAAGTCCTTCACTGCGTGCACCTTTACAGCCTCTACCGGTTCCGGCTGAGTGCTGGGAATCCATCTCAATGGATTTCGTCTTCGGGTTACCCAAAGACGCACGCGGGAATACGGGTATTCTCGTATTTGTTGACAGATTCAGCAAAATGGTACACCTTGTGGCTGTACCAGAGACAATCACGGCAAGTGGCTGTGCTTGTGTCTTTATTGACACCATCTTCCGACTTCATGGGTTGCCCCGTGAACTCGTATCAGACAGAGATCCACGATTCACTGCTGATTTCTGGCGTTCCGTGTTCAAATCACTCGGAACGCGCTTGAAGATGTCAACATCTGATCATCCAGAGTCAGATGGTCAGACGGAACGTGCCAATCGTGTCCTTGAAGAGATACTTCGAGGATACGTACACTCCTTTAAGAGTTGGAGTGAGTTTTTGCCGATGGTAGAGTTTGCCATCAACAACTCGGTGCATGCGTCCACGAGACATACACCGTTTTACGTGAATGGCTTGCGCCATCCGCGTGTACCCACCTTACTAGAGTGTAACTCTGGTTTAAGGGGGAGGGACTCGCGCGAGCAAAAACCGATTTGGTTCACGCTCATCACGCTCTGACGAGGAAGTCATTGCGTTTGATGCCGATATCGATAACATCGATATCGAAGAAGATGATGCCAGTGAGAGTGCGGAAGCCCTCACTGAAGACAATGATGCCAGTGAGAGTGCGGAAGCCCTCACTGAAGAAAAGGTTGTTGTTGCTGCAGTGCGCTCACAGCACACTGAAGCTAACGAGCCAGCAGATGAGTTCATACTGGCTCGTGAAACGGTAGTCCGTTTTGTGCAAGACTCCATCGCCGAAGCGGTGGATAAGCAAAAGCAAAACGCTGACAAGAATGGAAGGGCAAACACTCTTTTATTTAATAAAGGTGACTTAGTCCTACTGTCTACGGTTAATCTACCAAAACATGTAGTGACTAACTTGGGTAGCAGTAAACTACTACCCAAGTACATTGGCCCATTTCGTGTATTGCACCGCCTAGGCAATGCATACACGATCGAGTTACCACGTAAGATGCGAACGCATCCCACGTTTTACGTTGGTCGGCTTAAGCCGTACCATCAGTACGCTGCTTCTTCCGATGAAGAACGCCCTTGCGCTCAAGCATCTCGCAGAGAGCCTTGTGCTCCCGATGGTGGGCATCAACAAGGGTCTGAAGAGCAGTTATCTCAGCCCGAGACCGATCAACAATCCCACGAGCTACCCTTAGCTCGTCACGAAGAGATGTCAGAGATCTCTCGTTCTCAAGCTGAGCAAAGGCAAACTCAGCTCGATGCTTCGAGGCAGTGTCCACCATCTGGAGACGCCTATTCCGCTCATGCTCGAGATCGTCGCGTAACCCTTGCGTTACGCGATCAAAAAGCTCTCGGGAACACACCGATCCACATGATCGTGTGGAGAGCGTCTTTCCTCCTCCTCCACCTCCATTAGAGGACTCTCGCGGTGGCCAGCGCTATCTAGTTGAGCAGCTGTTGAACCACCGCGACGTGAACGGACGTCGGACGAGTTACCTCGTCCGGTGGCGCGGCTATCCCCCGTCCTGGGATTCTTGGGAGCCCCGCTCCCAATTGATGGTTGACGTACTGGGTCTGGTCGAGCAGTACGACGCGGCACATCCTGTGCCGCAGAAGGACCGCCGGAGAAAGTCTTCCCGGCACGGTCGTAAAGGGATTTCAGGTTGTCAATCCCTTCGTACATCTCAGTAGAGACACGTACGCGCCACCACGGGCTGGTAAGGAGGTAAGCCTCCTTAGGTGCTCGTGCAGAGTTGTTCACACAACATGGGCACGAGTCTCCCCAAGAGAGGCAGGGTAATCCTTTCTCCCTTGACAGACGATGCAGCTTATAGCGTGCACCTGTCGGGGTTCGCTTTTCAAACTTATCACGAGCTTTGATAAGTTTGTCGTTCCCAAGCGTCACGACCTACATCCTCGAGATTATGGATGTAGGCGTTCCACGCCTGAAGTAGTGAGGGACCATCACGTTTGTGATTCCCACTGTACCATCGATGTCTGAAGAAAGCATCGATGAAGAACTCATGCTCAGCGCGATAGTCTTTCGCGCTGGGGTCAAGGTGATGGATCCTTGACGAATCGAACAATCGTGTTCGATAACGATCACTCGTCGTCGCCGACAAGTGATCCATGACAGATTTAGGAGGCATCCATGCCTTCTTTTCTGGAGCGAGACGCAACACATTGCGGTCCCGCTCTTCCTGCGACGTGCCGACAGAAGTACTGGCACCTCGCTGTGAAGTGGTGTCCATTGGAGAAACGACACCACTATTAGCGCCCGAGTCTCGCGACCTCGAGCGCCTTCGCTTCGGCGATGGTTCATCTGACTCATCAGATGAACCAAAGATGCTGCGACGCAAAGCATCGTCCATGCCACGCTTGGCAGGCGGCTTGGATTCAATTGCCGTCGATACGGATCCGTCATCCGTATCAGGAGAGTACGAGACACCGAGCTCGTACTCTGTGAAGACACGAGTGTCTTCATGACCAGCGCCTGCATCACCAGGTGATACAGGCTGAGTCGATTCAGCAACCGATGGGATATCAGTTGCTGTAGTTTCTGCTTCGGCGTCCGCACAGAGACGTGCAGACGCGCTCTCGGCGGCCTTGCTCGCGCATCGCATGGGCTTGTTTACCATGCGATGAGATGTTGGAAAGTGGACGCGGACCAACAAGTGCAAACCCCGTCCCAAATGATTTGGGACGAGTATCCATTTAGTCAATCAGTCACTAAAGTGACTGATGGTTAAGGGGGTGATGTAACGGGGTGAATCGTTACATAACAATTTATAAGAAATTGTTAATAGAATATGACTATAAGAGTTATATTCTCAGAATATTGTCATAAGGACAATATTCTGTAGCACTTCAAGTAGTTCCTAATTGGTTGATATAGGCCATTATATCAACCAACGAAGACTGCCACGAACAGACGCACGCAATGAGTGGTGAGCAGATAACTGATTTACACATTTGTATTTAGACATAGTTAGATGAAGATAAATAGTGATTTATTGCAGACATTAACTATTATAAATACAGTTCTACTTTTACTCTAACCGAGTACTCGCTTCTTCTTACCGTCTTCCTCTGCACGTACGAGTGTACGTGAAGTTACGAGGCACCGCCTTATTCTGTCATCAGAATAAGTAGCTTGTACTGTCACCAGTACAAGCTTCAGGGTGCCCCGTTACACCCACTCCTAGAGCCGAACTGTAACGGGGCACCCTGAAGCTTGTACTGGTGACAGTACAAGCTACTTATTCTGATGACAGAATAAGGCGGTGCCTCGTAACTTCACGTACACTCGTACGTGCAGAGGAAGACGGTAAGGAGAAGCGAGTACTTAATTAAAGTAAAAAGTAGAACTGTATTTATAATAGTTAATGTCTGCAATAAATCACTATTTATCTTCATCTAACTATGTCTGAATACAAATGTGTAAACCAACTATCTGCTCACCACTCATTGCGTGCGTCTGTCGTGGCGCGTCTTCGTTGGGATATGTAATGGCCTATATCAACCAATTAGGAACTACTCGTAAGTGCTGCAGAATATTTGTCCTTATGACAATATTCTGAGAATCTAACTCTTATAATTATATTCTATCAGCAATTTCTCAAAAATTGTTATGTAACGATTCACCCCGTTACATCACCCCCCCTTAACCATCAGTCACTTTAGTGACTGATTGACTAAATGGATACTCGTCCCAAATCATTTGGGACAGGGTTTGCACTTGTTGGTCCGAGTCCACTTTCCAACAATTCATCGCATGGTTAACAAGCCCATGAGATGCGCGAGCAAGGCCGCCGAGAGCGCGTCCGCACGTCTTTGTGCGGACGCCGAAGCAGAAACCGCAGCAACTGATGTCACATCGGTTGCTGAATCGACTCAGCCTGTGTCACCTGGTGATGCAGGCGCTCGTCATGAAGACACTCATGTCTTCACAGAGTATGAGCTCGGTGTCTCGTACTCTCCTGATACGGAAGACGGATCCGTATCGACGGCGATAGAATCCAAGCCGCCTGCCAAGCGTGGCATGGATGATGCTATGCGTCGTAGCATCTTTGGTTCATCTGATGAATCAGATGAACCATCGCTGAAGCGAAGGCGCTCGAAGTCACAAGACTCGGGCGCTCACAGTGGTGTCGGTTCTCCTATTGACACCACTTCGCAACAAGGTGCCAGTACTTCTGTCGGCACGTCGCAGGAAGAGCGGGACCGCAACGTGTTGCGTCTCGCTCCTGAAAAGAAGGCATGGATGCCTCCAAAATCCGTCATGGATCACTTGTCGGCGACGACGAGTGATCGCTATCGAACACGAGTGATCGCTATCGAACACGATTGTTCGATTCGTCAAGGATCCATCACCTTGACCCCAGTGCGAAAAACTATCGCGCTGAGCATGAATTCTTCATTGATGCTTTCTTTAAACATCAATGGTACAGTGGGAATCACAAACGTGATGGTCCCTCACTGCTTCAAGCGTGGAACGCCTACATCCATAACCTTGAGAATGTAGGTCGTGACGTTGGGAACGACAAACTTATCAAAGCTCGTGATAAGTTTGAAAAGCGAACCCCGACAGGTGCACGCTACAAGATTCATCGTCTGTCTAGGGAGAAAGGGTTACCCTGCCTCTCCTGGGGAGACTCGTGCCCATGTTGTGTGAACAACTCTGCGCGCGCACCTAAGGAGGCTTACCTCCTTATAGCCCGTGGTGGCGCGTACGTATCTCTAGTGAGATGTACGAAGGGATTGACAACCTGAAATCCCTTTACGACCGTGCCGGGAAGACTTTCTCCGGCGGTCCTTCTGCGGCATAGGATGTGCCGCATCGTACTGCTCGACCAGACCCAGTACGTCAACCATCAATTGGGAGCGGGGCTCCCAAGAATCCCAGGACGGGGGATAGCCGCGCCACCGGACGAGATAACTCGTCCGACGTCCGTTCTCGTCGCGGTGGTTCAACAGCTGCTCAACCAGATAGCGCTGGCCACCACGAGAGTCCTCTAATGGAGGTGGAGGAGGAGGAAAGACGCTCTCCACACGATCGTGGGGGAGCGTGTGTTCCCGAGAGCTTCTTTGATCGCGTAACGCAAGGGTTACGCGGCGATCTCGTACATGAGCGGGACAGGCGTCTCCAACTGGCGGACGCTGTCTCAAAGCATCGAGCTGAGTTTGCCTTTGCTCAGCTTGAGAACGAGAGATCTCTGACATCTCTGCGTGACGAGCTAAGGGTAGCTCGTTGGGATGTTGAGCGGTCTCGGGCTGAGATAACTGCTCTTCAGACCCTTGTCGATGCCCACCGTCGGGAGCACAAGGCTCTCTGCGAGATGCTTGAGCGCAAGGGCGTTCTTCATCGGAAGAAGCAGCGTACTGATGGTACGGCTTAAGCCGACCAACGTAAAACATGGGATGCGTTCGCATCTAACGTGGCAGTTCGATCGTGTATGCGTTGCCTAGGTGATGCAATACACGAAATGGGCCGATGTACTTGGGTAGTAGTTTACTACTACCCAAGTTAGTCACTACATGCTTTGGTAGATTAACCGTAGACAGTAGGACTAATTCCCCTTTATTAAATAAAAGAGTGTTTGCCCTTCCGTTCTTGTCTGCGTTTTGCTTTTGCTCATCCACCGCTTCGGCGATGGAGTCTTGCACAAAACGGACTACCGTTTCACGAGCCAGTATGAACTCATCTGCTGGCTCGTTAGCTGCAGTGCGCTGTGAGTGCACTGCAGCGAAAACAAATTTTTCTTCAGTGAGGGCTTCCGCACTCTCACTGGCATCATCTTATTCGATATCGATGTTGTCGATATCGGCATCAAACGCAATGACCTCTTTGTCAGAGCGTGATGAGCGTGAACCAAATCGTTTTTTGCTCGCGCGAGTCCCTCCCCCCCTTAAACCAGAGTTACACTCTAGTAAGGTGGGTACACGCGGATGGCGCAAGCCATTCACGTAAAACGGTGTATGCGTCGTGGACGCATGCACCGAGTTGTTGATGGCAAACTCTACCATTGGCAAAAACTCACTCCAACTCTTAAAGGAGTGTACGTATCCTCGAAGTATCTCTTCAAGGACACGATTGGCACGTTCCGTCTGACCATCTGACTCTGGATGATCAGATGTCGACATCTTCAAGCGCGTTCCGAGTGATTTGAACACGGAACGCCAGAAATCAGCAGTGAATCGTGGATCTCTGTCTGATACGAGTTCACGGGGCAACCCATGAAGTCGGAAGATGGTGTCAATAAAGACACAAGCACAGCCACTTGCCGTGATTGTCTCTGGTACAGCCACAAGGTGTACCATTTTGCTGAATATTGAGGGTTACCGGTACAATCCGAACCTAGCGCGTAGTTCTTACGAGATAGTTTTTTACATCGGTAATTACCTCAGAGATGATTAGACGCGTAGGATGATTGGACGCGTGTAAATCAGGTTGTTTAGATGCACCATGTGATTGGATGCAGTCGAGGGTAGGCAGAAGTTAAGACCTATAAATCAATCACTTTCGAATCCTCCCTCAAGTGAGCAAGTGTTCTCTGCTTCGTTCTCTCCGGTCTCTCCGCTTCGTTTTCTCTTCGCCTCGCGCTCAAGTTACAACAGGTTATGAGCCCAAGCGCCATGTCGTCCAACAACACCTCGGCCAGTGTCTCCATCGATAAGTTCGATGGGGACAACTACTCAACCTGGTGTCGCTACATGCGCGGCGTGTTTCTGACGAAGTCAGTCTGGTACGTCGTGAACCGCGAAACGTCTCCAACCTTCACCGACACGCGAGCTTCCGACGAGTACGTCAAGGCGAGCAACATCGCGTTCGGGTTGATGTTGCTCCACATGGACGCCGACTACCACCATGTGGTCGACAACTGTGAAGAAGCATGGACAGCGTGGTCGCGGTTGAAGATGCTCTATGGTGGGTCGCAGAAGGCGGGACGCATCTACCTCAAGCGCCAGCTGTTCAGCATCAAGATGGCGGAAGGTGCCAACGTCTTGCACCATTGCAACGAAGTCTTGAACATCGGCGCCAAGCTCAGCAGCATCGGTGCCAAGATGGAAGACGAAGACATTGCGATCTGCTTACTGCGCAGTCTGCCCAAGAGTTTCGAGAACGTGGTTCTCAACTTGGAGATGAGCAATGCAGAGCTGCGCACGCAAGATGTGGTCAAGGTGCTGACTAACGAGCACATCAAGCGACAAGGCGAGAAGATGACAACGGCAACGACAACGGTGAAGACTGAAGATGCGACAAAGGCATTCAGTACCGAGCGCAAGCCCTACCAATGCACATACTGCGGCAAGGTGGGGCACACGGCAGAGCGTTGCTGGACGAAGCAAAAGGATGAAAGTCGAGGAGCCCAACGCGGCGGCAATGGTCGTCGACGCGGGTCAAACAATGTCCACTGGCGACATTATGATGAAGGCAACAGCTACGATCGAGTGGCGTTTGCAGTTTCGTTCGAATGCGGAGTTTCGACGAACAAGAATGGACCAGGAATGTGGGCCGTTGACAGCGGGGCAACACATCACATCTGCCACGACAAGTTCAAGTTTGCAAGCTTGGTCGAAGGCAATGATGGCGAGATCCTGGTGGCTGATGGCAACAAGGCGGCCATCAAAGGTGTGGGGACCATCGTGGAAAAGGTGATTCTGCCAAACGGGGAAGAGCGCGAGATCGAGATCAAGAACGCGCTCTATGTGCCCAGCATGAGCAAAAATCTGCTCTCGGTGCCGCAGATTAACAAGCACGGCAACTTCCAAGTGGTGTTTGACGGGGATACGATGTACGTCGCTCGCAAGGATTCCAATCAAGTGGTGGCAGCTGCGGATCTTGTAGACGGACTCTACTGGCTTCGCACGACGCAGCGATCGGCCAATGCGACATCACTCAGCAACGCTGTTGATCTACATGCGCGAATGGGCCATGCTCCAGTCGACGTGCTTCGCAGGATGGTGACAAGCCACATGATCAAGGACGCTCACATCCCTTCCAAGCCGAATGGATCAAGTGTGTGTCGAGGATGCCAAGAAGGGAAGATGGTCCAAAAACCATTCCCGAGCAACCGTGACAAGCGCACCTACAACACCTTCGAGATGCTCCACTTCGACATCTGCGGACCCATGGAAGAAAAATCTCTGGGTGGCAGCAAGTATCTGCTGCTGATCGTGGATGAAGCCAGCGGATGCATGAAGGGTTTTTGTCTGCATTCCAAGTCAGAAAGCGAAGAGTGCATCAAGAAGTACATCACGATGATACAGACGCAGTTCAACAAGAAGGTCAAATTTGTGCGACACGATGGAGCCCGCGAGTTTGCGACGAACTCGCTTCAAGATTTCTACGAAGTCGAAGGCATCGAGCAACAAACCACGGTGCCATACGCACATCAAGCCAATGGAACTGCTGAACGCGCAATTAGAACTATCGTCACCATCGGTCGTAGCATGCTCCATCATGCCAAGTTGGACAAGTGCTTCTGGGCTGAAGCGGCAATGACGGCCGTCTATGTGAAGAACCGTTTGCCGTCACCCAAGATTCCACACAAGACACCGTTCGAGATTGTCTACAGTTCTAAGCCAAGTGTCAAGCACATGCGCGTTTTTGGGTGCCAAGCATACATCTTGACCCCGAAGGAGAAACGACTCAAGTGGGATCCCAAGGCCCGGGCTGGATTGTTTTTGGGCTACGAAGAAGTGTCCAAGGCGTATCGAGTTTACGACATCGAAGCGGGGCAGGTGATGATAAGTCGCGATGTCAACTTCGATGAGTCGGCCTTTGGAATGTCGATGCTGATTTCCGATGACGATGTTGATGGCCTGGACTTCGAATCGATCGATCTTGATGATGAAGAACCGCGTCCGAGACACTTCAAACAAACAGGAAAGCGAAAGGCCCAACCCAGTCACGACAATGACGACGCAAGCATGCCCCGAGCAGTGCGCCAACGACCCGGATTGGAAGAGTCAAGTGCGCCGGATGATCTCTCTTCACGTCGAGCCAACGAAGATGAAGAAAGGAAGTCGGAGGAACAACATGACACACCGACTTCCTCCGCGTTTTGGCATGCGAGTGCAAACGCCGTCGAAGCAGCGGTCGATTTTTCGGAGCCGTCGACATTTGAAGAAGCAGTGTCTGGCCCGGACCAAGTACACTGGCGCAAGGCAATTGATGCGGAGCTCGATTCGATGAAGCTTCGCGGTGTCTTTCGTGCGGCCAAGTTACCCAACGGACAAAGCGCCATTGGCACAAAGTGGGTCTTCAAGATCAAGCGCAAGGCGGATGGGTCGATCGAGAAATACAAGGCACGACTTGTGGCCAAGGGTTTTCGCCAAAAGTATGGCATCGACTACACGGAGACGTTCTCGCCCGTGGTCAAGTATGTGACGCTGCGAATGGTCATCGCCATTACCAAGCACTTTGGATGGCCCCTCGACCAGCTCGATGTGGTGACTGCGTTCCTGTATGGAGTGATGAAGGAGAAGGTGTTCTGCGCTGTTCCGGAAGGCGTCAAGATGGAAGGTGATTTCGACTGTCTCGAGCTGATCAAGGCGATCTACGGTCTCAAGCAAGCCTCGCGTGTTTGGAACGAGACCTTCGACGAGTTCATACGCTCGATTGGTTTTCAAGCGTCGGGATTCGATCCATGTCTCTACATCATGACTTCGGAAGGCCATTGTGTTTTTGTGCTGGTCTACGTGGACGATGTCTTGGTGACTGGAAGCTCGCTCGAGATGATTGCGCGCACCAAGAACGACCTCAAGACACGCTTCGAGATGACGGACAGCGGCAAGTGTGCCTTTGTTCTTGGGATCGAGTTATTGGACGGTGAAGATGGCAGCGTGACTATGTGTCAGCGCCGTTATGTCGACGATGTCCTCAAGCGCTTTGGAATGGATGAGTGCAAGGCTGTGACAAGTCCGGTGGACGTCAGCTCTCGACTGGTTCCAAGCAACTCTGCAAGCAAGGTGGATGTCCCATTCCGTGAAGCAGTGGGTGCTTTGATGCATCTGACGACTGCAACGCGACCGGACATCGCCTATGCTGTAAGCTTTGTGTCACGGTTCATGGAGAAACCCCAAGAAGAACACTGGGTTGCAGTCAAGCGCATCTTCCGCTACCTACAAGGCACCAAGATGCATGGAATCTGCTACAAGCCAAGTGCGAAGATCGACTTTCGTGGCTATTCAGATGCAGACTGGGCCGGTGACCTTGCTGATCGCAAATCGACGTCCGGCTACGTCTTCATGCTATTGGGTGCTCCGGTGAGTTGGGGCAGCAAGAAACAGCCAAGTGTGTCGCTGTCTACAAGTGAAGCGGAGTACATCGCGCTCAGCCTGGCGATCCAAGAAGGCAAGTGGATCAATCGCTTGCTGTGCGAGATCATGGCGGCTGCAAACGAAGAAGGACCCGAGCTCGTCATCCGTGAAGACAACCAGTCGTGCATCAAGATGACGAAGAATCCGGTCAACCACGGCCGCGCTAAACACATCGACATCAAGTACCATCACATCCGTGATGAAGTCAAGCGCGGCGAAGTGAAGCTTGAATACTGCGAGACGACGTTGATGTTGGCGGACATCATGACGAAGGGACTTCACGGACCGCGTCACAAGGACTTGACGGCGGCGCTTGGCATCCGTGCGTGTTCGGATTGAGGGGGCGTATTGAGGGTTACCGGTACAATCCGAACCTAGCGCGTAGTTCTTACGAGATAGTTTTTTACATCGGTAATTACCTCAGAGATGATTAGACGCGTAGGATGATTGGACGCGTGTAAATCAGGTTGATTAGATGCACCATGTGATTGGATGCAGTCTAGGGTAGGCAGAAGTTAAGACCTATAAATCAATCACTTTCGAATCCTCCCTCAAGTGAGCAAGTGTTCTCTGCTTCGTTCTCTCCGGTCTCTCCGCTTCGTTTTCTCTTCGCCTCGCGCTCAAGTTACAACACTGAATCTGTCAACAAATACGAGAATACCCGTATTCCCGCGTGCGTCTTTGGGTAACCCGAAGACGAAATCCATTGAGATGGATTCCCAGCACTCAGCCGGAACCGGTAGAGGCTGTAAAGGTGCACGCAGTGAAGGACTTGACTTCACTCGTTGGCAGACTTCGCATGCGCGAACATACTTTCGCACAAACTGATACTGGCGGGGCCAGTAAAAGTCTCGACTTACCGTGAGATATGTTTTCTCTCGGCCACGATGTCCTCCTATAGGAGCATCGTGATACTTCGAACATGATCCGCAAACGCAGATCAGTATCATCTGGAATGACAACACGTGGTGTGTCACCAGAAACGGCTGTATAGTACAGTAAACCGTTACGAGTAGTGTATCGATCTGATGCAGATCGATACGCAGACGACAATCGTTTCAACGATTCTCGAGATGGTTGGGAGAGATGTGACAACAACTTCACTATCTCACCATCTTGGGCGTATGCCCGCCTCACATCATCATACAACGTTGTAGATGGAACTGAGGACGTCATAACCGCAACAGTGACTGTCTCACTGTTGGGTTTCGCGACTGTTTCAAAGTCGGGACGACGTGAGAGTGCATCAGCGACGACATTAAGTCGTCCTGGTTTGTACTCAACTGTAAAGTTGTATTCTGCAAAGAATGACAACCACCGCGCTATTCGTTGTGAAAGGTGCGGGCTGTTCACTGCCGTGCGTAATGACGCATGGTCAGTGTAAACAATGAAGGGTCTATCTCCTAATAGATAGACTCTGAAATTCGCTAGTGCATACTTCATGGCAAGGAGTTCCTTGTCATGCACTGGATAGTTCCGCTCTGCTGGTTGCAGCTGACGCGACTGATAGCAGACGACGCGTTCAACGCCTTCAAGATCGTACTGCATTAATGCACAGTCGATTGCGAAATCGCTGGCATCACAGACCACATGAAATGGCCTGTCCTGATCTGATGAACTTTAGACTTCTTGGTCCGAGTGCAAAACGCAAAGTGAATATATATTTATAATAGGTACTTAGTTCGCAACTTTGAATACTACCTCTAAGCCTATTATTCGCAGTGACGTCATCCAGTGACGTCACCCACTGACGTCATGCAATGACGTCATCCAGTGACGTCATTTCCTGACTTCGCCCTTACTGGTACATACCGGTACCCACCGGTATAGCGAAGCTTGGTCTTCCACTTGCTTCAACACTTGACGCAGCTTGACGAGGTGTCTTCTTCACAGCCGCTGTCTTTTCAACACTCCCTCTCGACTCGTTAGCTGCGGCACCTTGGATCCCAAGTCGATCGCGAATGTTTTCAAATTGTACAGCGGCGATCGGCTTGGTCATCATGTCTGCCAGCATATCTTGAGTCGGGCAATACTCCAAAACGACTTCACCTGATTCCACCTTCTCACGCACAAAATGGTAGCGTATGTCGATGTGTTTTGTTCTCTTATGGAACTCCGGGTTCTTGGCGAGAGCGATTGATCATTGGTTGTCTTCATACATCTTGATCGCTTCGTCGCTTGTCATCTCACCAAGTTCCCCAAAAGCACCTTGAGCCATACTGCTTCTTTGGTTGCTTCGGAAAGCGCCATGTATTCTGCTTCTGTTGAAGATAGCGCGACCGTCCGTTGTTTCTGGCTTTTCCAGCTGATGCATCCTCCGCTCATCATGAACACATAGCCGCTTGTACTTCGTCTTGACTCAATGTCGCCGGCCCAGTCTGCGTCGGTGTACCCGCAGATACGGCTTCCTTCTTCACGTGTAAACTCAAGACCATGATTGGGCGTTGCTTGCAGGTATCTCAGCACACGCTTCAAAGCTTGCCAGTGAGTCGGGCATGGGTCGGACGAGAACTGGGATAATGATCCCACTGCAGCAGCTAGATCCGGACGTGTGGCGACCATGAGATACATGATGCCTCCGACAGCACTTCGATATGGCACGTTGCACATGGTGTCTTCGTGCTTGCATTCTTGTTCACACATGTTCTTGGTTAGCTTCAGGCCGGGATCTTGAGGCGTCTTCACTGGCTTGCTGTTATCCATTCCGAACTTGGTTAACACGGACTTGAGAAACTTGGTTTGTTGTACAGTCACCATTCCCGTCTTACGGTCGTTCTTGATCTCCATGCCGAGAAAGTAATCGAGCTCACCGAGATCCGTCATTTCGAAGCGTTTGCTCAGCGCCATCTTGGTCGACTTGAGGAGTTCGTTGTTGCTGCTGGCCAGGATGAGATCATCGACGTAGAGCACCACGAGAATCATGTCTTGGTCGTCTCGCTTGATGTAGATGCAGTGGTCCGATTCGCACTTCTTGAATCCCATCTTGATCATGAACCCATCGATTGTTTGGTTCCACATGCGAGGCGATTGCTTCAAGCCGTAGAGTGATCTCTTTAGCTTGCACACATAGTCCGGCTGTGTTGCATCCAGGTATCCGTCCGGCTGGTCCATGTAGATGTCTTCGTTGAGGGAGCCGTTAAGAAACGCTGTCTTGACGTCCATCTGATGTAGCATTAGGCCGTACTTAGCCGCCATACTGAGCACCACACGAATCGATGTGAACTTGGCCACCGGTGCGAAAGTTTCTTCATAGTCAACTCCGAATTTCTGTGAGAATCCTTTGGCCACAAGTCTTGCCTTGAAACGTTCAACTTCGCCATCTTGATTCTCCTTTACACGAAAAACCCATCGGCACCCGATGGCCTTGCGACCTTCGGAAGAGGCACGATTTCCCACGTGTCGTTTCTCTGAAGCGAATCGAACTCCGAGTCACACGCTTCTTTCCACTTGCCGGAGTCGCTTGATTCCATCGCCGACTTGAATGTAGTCGGCGTTTCCCCACTGAATCAACGATGTAGGCTGCTTCAAAATCCATTGCAGCCGCTGACACATGCTCAAGCGACGGACCTCTGTATGTTCTTCGCTTGGGACTTGAATGACGGTAGCTTTCTCAAGTGATTGAGTGCGCGTGTGTCTCTTGATGTTGCTCTTCGAAGACCTGGTGTCTTCGTTGTCATCGTCGCTCGAGTCCATGTCGTCGTCAGTTTTACCTTCTTCTTTTTCTTCGTCCTCATCATGATCATCAAACTCAACGACACTTGACTCATCGTTGTAGTTGCGCGGACCTTCATCAAACTTGTCTTCCATGAATGTGGCATCGCGACTGATCTTGATCGCTCCTGTTGACACTTCCTCAAATCGATATGACTTCTGGTGTTCGGCGTATCCCAGGAAACGACAGAGTGATGACTTGGAGTCGAACTTCGCGCGTTTGTCTTGAGGCACTTGAACATACGCGTGGCATCCAAACACTTTAAGGTTGGCCAGAATCGGTTTCTTCATCGTCCACACTTGATATGGAGACTTGTCTTGGTGAATGGCACGTGTTGGACAGCGGTTTCGAGGAAACATCGCCGTCATCACTGCTTCACCCCAGTAGCTCTTTCCCAGTCCAGCGTGTTCCATCATGCAACGCGCACACTCGACCAGCGTGCGATTCATTCTCTCAGCTACTCCGTTTAGCTGAGGAGTATATGGGGGTGTGAACCTTTGTTGTATTCCCCGTTCCGCGCAGAATCGTGCCAGCTTGTCGGACTTGTATTCACCCCCATTGTCGCTTTGAAGGTACTTCACGCGCTTTCCGGTTTGCGTTTCGGCCATCGCAGCGTATTCCATGAACTTCGCCGCAACTTCAGATTTGCTCTTGAGCAGATAGACGACACAGTATCTTGACTTGTCATCAATGAATGTCACGAAGTACCGTTTTCCACTGAAAGTTGCCATCGACATCGGTCCGCATACGTCGCTGTGAATCACTTCGAGGAGTTTGGAGGTGCGAGCTGTAGTGTTTGATTGGAAGCGCACTCGAGTCTGTTTTCCCAGAGCACAACCTTCACACACGTCCCACTTCTTCACCGAAGATATGTCGATGCCAATTCCAATGTTCTTCGTCACGATGCAATTGAGTCCATCGTGACCTATGTGGCCAAGCCGAAGGTGCCAGAGGTACGACTTGGTGCCCCCTTGACATCCCGACGACTTGGCTGCATTTGCTTGTTCCGGCGCCACTGGAGTCATTTGCAGCTTGAACAGTCCTTTACCTTCACGGGCACCAATTTTCCACTTGGTCCCTTTCGCTTCTCCATAGCACCCATCCTTCGTGAACGTCACTGGGCCGACATCCTTGATGAAGCGGCCGACCGAGAACAGGTTTCTGGATAACTTTGGGATGTGCCACACGTTTGTGAGCACACCTTTCTTCATCCCTTGGGGTGTCTTCATCGACATGACAATGTCCCCACTGCCGATTGCTTGGACGATTCCATCATCCGCGAGATGGACATCCACAGCGTCAAACCCCTTGTAGTTCCGCATGAACTTCTTGGAGCACGTCATGTGCTGCGTCGCCCCGGAGTCGACCAGCCAGATGTCGCTCGATTTCGCAGATGTCGTTTCACCGATCGAAAAGAGGTAGTCGCCCGAGTCTTCTTCTTGAGCGACGTTTGCACGTTGTGATCGATAGCGGTCGCCGCTGTCTTGAGCACGCTGTGGCCGGTGTCTCTCCGTGTTTTCTTGATGCGCGAGGGGCACTCCGCCATCCAGTGACCAATCTTTCCGCAATTGTGGCACGGCCAGGACTTCTTCACTGGTCGCCCTTTGCGCTGATTGTCCCCTTGTGATGAACGCTTGACCTTGCGAAGCTTCATCACCTTTACTTCCTTGCTCCTTCCGCTTCATTTCTTCATGAAGCAGTCGAGACGTCACGAGCTCCCAGCTAAGAGTGTCTGAGCGCGACTCCAAAGCTGTGATCAAGAATTGATACGAGTCACTCAGGCTGCCGAGGAGTGTGATCACCAGATCGTCCTCGCAGACTGGAGCCCCCCACCGCTTCTAGCTGTTCCGCCAGCGTCTTGAGCTTGTTGATGTGTTCGAGCACATCGTCGCCTTCTTCCATCATTGTCGTGAAGAAGCGACGGCGCAAGAACAGCTTGTTGGCAAGACTCTTCTTCTCGAAGTGGTCTTCCAACCTTGACCATGCGTCGCATGCACCACTTGCCGACCGGACCAACGGTAGCTGAGAATCTTCCATGGCTAGACAGATCACTGCCATCGCCTTTCTTGACTTCCTCTTGTACGTCGCTTGGTCCAACTGAGTCTCGCACTGTTCCGCCTTGATCTCACCGCTGACGACCTCCCATAGGTCCCGTTCCTCCAGCACCATCTGCATCTTGAACTTCCAGGCGTGGAAGTTAGTTCCATCGAACTTGGAGATGCGGAGGGAGGAGGCGTCCATGGCAGCTAAGCTTGAATTGTTGGCGGTTTCAGAGTCTGACGAACTTGGGCTCATAACCTGATGAACTTTAGACTTCTTGGTCCGAATGCAAAACGCAAAGTGAATATATATTTGTAATAGGTACTTAGTTCGCAACTTTGAATACTACCTCTAAGCCTATTATTCGCAGTGACGTCATCCAGTGACGTCATTTCCTGACTTCGCCCTTACTGGTACATACCGGTACCCACCGGTATAGCGAAGCTTGGTCTTCCACTTGCTTCAACACTTGACGCAGCTTGACGAGGTGTCTTCTTCACAGCCGCTGTCTTTTCAACATGATCGGCAATTGCTAGGACTGGGGATTGTATCAAGCTCTGCTTGATACCATCAAAGGAGCGCTGACATTCAGCGTTCCATAACCACCTCTCGTTCTTTTTCAACAAACGAGAGAGGTGTATAGTCGTCTCGGCGTAATTGCGTGAGTACTTATGCAAATACGCCGCTAGCCCAAGGAATTTTCGAAGACCTTTGACATCGACCGGCACAGGCCAGTCGGTGATCGCCTTGATCTTTTCGGGATCAGGACGTACACCGTTCTTACCAACGATGCACCCAAGAAGTGGTATTTCGCTTGCTGCAAATATACACTTCTTAAGGTTTGCATACAATTGATGCTTCGCATGATTGTAAGAACCTGTCGGGCGTGGTACCTGTGAACCTCAACATCCGACTTTCCATCCATAGCCCGACTATGGATGAATACGTCATCGAAATAACTCGGCGCGAATTATCGTACTGGTCTCAACAGATGTGCTGAACATCTGTTGAACGTGGCAGGGGCATTACTAAGCCCTTGTGGCATTACTAGCCATTCCCAGAGCATGCTACTTGGCGTGCTAACTGCGGTATAGGGTATATCCCGTTCTCGCATAAGGATTTGATAGAAGCCATCCATCAAATCCATGGACGAAAAGATGGTACTCTTTGACATACCATCAATGATTACGTCCTTCCTTGGTATCGGCGTCTGAGCCGGTACCGTTGCAGCATTCAACTTTTTGAATGCATGCACTATCCGCCACCCTCCTGTTGCTTTTCGCACACAAAAGGTCGGAGAGCTATGTGGGGAAGTTGATTCCGTCACATGGCCCGCAGCTAAACGATCGGCAGAGAACTTGTCGATCGCAAGTACTTGTTCACGAGGCAGTGGTCACTGCTTCATGACACAGTACTTCGAGCCTGGTTTAAGATCGACCTCGTGTCGAATACCTTTATCCTTCGGTAATTCGCACGGAACAGTTTCAGGGAATACATCCTTGACTTCAACCAAATCTTCATAAAGAGTGTTGTAACTTGAGCGCGAGGCGAAGAGAAAACGAAGCGGAGAGACCGGAGAGAACGAAGCAGAGAACACTTGCTCACTTGAGGGAGGATTCGAAAGTGATTGATTTATAGGTCTTAACTTCTGCCTACCCTAGACTGCATCCAATCACATGGTGCATCTAATCAACCTGATTTACACGCGTCCAATCATCCTACGCGTCTAATCATCTCTGAGGTAATTACCGATGTAAAAAACTATCTCGTAAGAACTACGCGCTAGGTTCGGATTGTACCGGTAACCCTCAATACGCCCCCTCAATCCGAACACGCACGGATGCCAAGCGCCGCCGTCAAGTCCTTGTGACGCGGTCCGTGAAGTCCCTTCGTCATGATGTCCGCCAACATCAACGTCGTCTCGCAGTATTCAAGCTTCACTTCGCCGCGCTTGACTTCATCACGGATGTGATGGTACTTGATGTCGATGTGTTTAGCGCGGCCGTGGTTGACCGGATTCTTCGTCATCTTGATGCACGACTGGTTGTCTTCACGGATGACGAGCTCGGGTCCTTCTTCGTTTGCAGCCGCCATGATCTCGCACAGCAAGCGATTGATCCACTTGCCTTCTTGGATCGCCAGGCTGAGCGCGATGTACTCCGCTTCACTTGTAGACAGTGACACACTTGGCTGTTTCTTGCTGCCCCAACTCACCGGAGCACCCAATAGCATGAAGACGTAGCCGGACGTCGATTTGCGATCAGCAAGGTCACCGGCCCAGTCTGCATCTGAATAGCCACGAAAGTCGATCTTCGCACTTGGCTTGTAGCAGATTCCATGCATCTTGGTGCCTTGTAGGTAGCGGAAGATGCGCTTGACTGCAACCCTGTGTTCTTCTTGGGGTTTCTCCATGAACCGTGACACAAAGCTTACAGCATAGGCGATGTCCGGTCGCGTTGCAGTCGTCAGATGCATCAAAGCACCCACTGCTTCACGGAATGGGACATCCACCTTGCTTGCAGAGTTGCTTGGAACCAGTCGAGAGCTGACGTCCACCGGACTTGTCACAGCCTTGCACTCATCCATTCCAAAGCGCTTGAGGACATCGTCGACATAACGGCGCTGACACATAGTCACGCTGCCATCTTCACCGTCCAATAACTCGATCCCAAGAACAAAGGCACACTTGCCGCTGTCCGTCATCTCGAAGCGTGTCTTGAGGTCGTTCTTGGTGCGCGCAATCATCTCGAGCGAGCTTCCAGTCACCAAGACATCGTCCACGTAGACCAGCACAAAAACACAATGGCCTTCCGAAGTCATGATGTAGAGACATGGATCGAATCCCGACGCTTGAAAACCAATCGAGCGTATGAACTCGTCGAAGGTCTCGTTCCAAACACGCGAGGCTTGCTTGAGACCGTAGATCGCCTTGATCAGCTCGAGACAGTCGAAATCACCTTCCATCTTGACGCCTTCCGGAACAGCGCAGAACACCTTCTCCTTCATCACTCCATACAGGAACGCAGTCACCACATCGAGCTGGTCGAGGGGCCATCCAAAGTGCTTGGTAATGGCGATGACCATTCGCAGCGTCACATACTTGACCACGGGCGAGAACGTCTCCGTGTAGTCGATGCCATACTTTTGGCGAAAACCCTTGGCCACAAGTCGTGCCTTGTATTTCTCGATCGACCCATCCGCCTTGCGCTTGATCTTGAAGACCCACTTTGTGCCAATGGCGCTTTGTCCGTTGGGTAACTTGGCCGCACGAAAGACACCGCGAAGCTTCATCGAATCGAGCTCCGCATCAATTGCCTTGCGCCAGTGTACTTGGTCCGGGCCAGACACTGCTTCTTCAAATGTCGACGGCTCCGAAAAATCGACCGCTGCTTCGACGGCGTTTGCACTCGCATGCCAAAACGCGGAGGAAGTCGGTGTGTCATGTTGTTCCTCCGACTTCCTTTCTTCATCTTCGTTGGCTCGACGTGAAGAGAGATCATCCGGCGCACTTGACTCTTCCAATCCGGGTCGTTGGCGCACTGCTCGGGGCATGCTTGCGTCGTCATTGTCGTGACTGGGTTGGGCCTTTCGCTTTCCTGTTTGTTTGAAGTGTCTCGGACGCGGTTCTTCATCATCAAGATCGATCGATTCGAAGTCCAGGCCATCAACATCGTCATCGGAAATCAGCATCGACATTCCAAAGGCCGACTCATCGAAGTTGACATCGCGACTTATCATCACCTGCCCCGCTTCGATGTCGTAAACTCGATACGCCTTGGACACTTCTTCGTAGCCCAAAAACAATCCAGCCCGGGCCTTGGGATCCCACTTGAGTCGTTTCTCCTTCGGGGTCAAGATGTATGCTTGGCACCCAAAAACGCGCATGTGCTTGACACTTGGCTTAGAACTGTAGACAATCTCGAACGGTGTCTTGTGTGGAATCTTGGGTGACGGCAAACGGTTCTTCACATAGACGGCCGTCATTGCCGCTTCAGCCCAGAAGCACTTGTCCAACTTGGCATGATGGAGCATGCTACGACCGATGGTGACGATAGTTCTAATTGCGCGTTCAGCAGTTCCATTGGCTTGATGTGCGTATGGCACCGTGGTTTGTTGCTCGATGCCTTCGACTTCGTAGAAATCTTGAAGCGAGTTCGTCGCAAACTCGCGGGCTCCATCGTGTCGCACAAATTTGACCTTCTTGTTGAACTGCGTCTGTATCATCGTGATGTACTTCTTGATGCACTCTTCGCTTTCTGACTTGGAATGCAGACAAAAACCCTTCATGCATCCGCTGGCTTCATCCACGATCAGCAGCAGATACTTGCTGCCACCCAGAGATTTTTCTTCCATGGGTCCGCAGATGTCGAAGTGGAGCATCTCGAAGGTGTTGTAGGTGCGCTTGTCACGGTTGCTCGGGAATGGTTTTTGGACCATCTTCCCTTCTTGGCATCCTCGACACACACTTGATCCATTCGGCTTGGAAGGGATGTGAGCGTCCTTGATCATGTGGCTTGTCACCATCCTGCGAAGCACGTCGACTGGAGCATGGCCCATTCGCGCATGTAGATCAACAGCGTTGCTGAGTGATGTCGCATTGGCCGATCGCTGCGTCGTGCGAAGCCAGTAGAGTCCGTCTACAAGATCCGCAGCTGCCACCACTTGATTGGAATCCTTGCGAGCGACGTACATCGTATCCCCGTCAAACACCACTTGGAAGTTGCCGTGCTTGTTAATCTGCGGCACCGAGAGCAGATTTTTGCTCATGCTGGGCACATAGAGCGCGTTCTTGATCTCGATCTCGCGCTCTTCCCCGTTTGGCAGAATCACCTTTTCCACGATGGTCCCCACACCTTTGATGGCCGCCTTGTTGCCATCAGCCACCAGGATCTCGCCATCATTGCCTTCGACCAAGCTTGCAAACTTGAACTTGTCGTGGCAGATGTGATGTGTTGCCCCGCTGTCAACGGCCCACATTCCTGGTCCATTCTTGTTCGTCGAAACTCCGCATTCGAACGAAACTGCAAACGCCACTCGATCGTAGCTGTTGCCTTCATCATAATGTCGCCACTGGACATTGTTTGCCCCGCGTCCACGACCATTGCCGCCGCGTTGGGCTCCTCGACTTTCATCCTTTTGCTTCGTCCAGCAACGCTCTGCCGTGTGCCCCACCTTGCCGCAGTATGTGCATTGGTAGGGCTTGCGCTCGGTACTGAATGCCTTTGTCGCATCTTCAGTCTTCACCGTTGTCGTTGCCGTTGTCATCTTCTCGCCTTGTCGCTTGATGTGCTCGTTAGTCAGCACCTTGACCACATCTTGCGTGCGCAGCTCTGCATTGCTCATCTCCAAGTTCAGAACCACGTTCTCGAAACTCTTCGGGAGACTGAGCAGCAAGCAGATCGCAATGTCTTCGTCTTCCATCTTGGCACCGATGCTGCTGAGCTTGGCGCCGATGTTCAAGACTTCGTTGCAATGGTGCAAGACGTTGGCACCTTCCGCCATCTTGATGCTGAACAGCTGGCGCTTGAGGTAGATGCGTCCCGCCTTCTGCGACCCACCATAGAGCATCTTCAACCGCGACCACGCTGTCCATGCTTCTTCACAGTTGTCGACCACATGGTGGTAGTCGGCGTCCATGTGGAGCAACATCAACCCGAACGCGATGTTGCTCGCCTTGACGTACTCGTCGGAAGCTCGCGTGTCGGTGAAGGTTGGAGACGTTTCGCGGTTCACGACGTACCAGACTGACTTCGTCAGAAACACGCCGCGCATGTAGCGACACCAGGTTGAGTAGTTGTCCCCATCGAACTTATCGATGGAGACACTGGCCGAGGTGTTGTTGGACGACATGGCGCTTGGGCTCATAACCTGTTGTAACTTGAGCGCGAGGCGAAGAGAAAACGAAGCGGAGAGACCGGAGAGAACGAAGCAGAGAACACTTGCTCACTTGAGGGAGGATTCGAAAGTGATTGATTTATAGGTCTTAACTTCTGCCTACCCTAGACTGCATCCAATCACATGGTGCATCTAATCAACCTGATTTACACGCGTCCAATCATCCTACGCGTCTAATCATCTCTGAGGTAATTACCGATGTAAAAAACTATCTCGTAAGAACTACGCGCTAGGTTCGGATTGTACCGGTAACCCTCAATAAAGAGGATTTGGCTTGAGCGATTTCCACGATTGGGAGTCATATCGCTCAACTCGTGTCTTGTTATCTAGGACACTCTCGTCCATAGATGAACTACTGAGAACTCTCGTTCTCAGTGAACACTGTTGCTGGCCTTATGTCGGTTACACACTCGTCGTCAGCGACGAGTACGTGATGAACTTTAGACTTCTTGGTCCGAGTGCAAAACGCAAAGTGAATATATATTTATAATAGGTACTTAGTTCGCAACTTTGAATACTACCTCTAAGCCTATTATTCGCAGTGACGTCACCCACTGACGTCACCCACTGACGTCACCCACTGACGTCATTTCCTGACTTCGCCCTTACTGGTACATACCGGTACCCACCGGTATAGCGAAGCTTGGTCTTCCACTTGCTTCAACACTTGACGCAGCTTGACGAGGTGTCTTCTTCACAGCCGCTGTCTTTTCAACACTCCCTCTCGACTCGTTAGCTGCGGCACCTTGGATCCCAAGTCGATCGCGAATGTTTTCAAATTGTACAGCGGCGATCGGCTTGGTCATCATGTCTGCCAGCATATCTTGAGTCGGGCAATACTCCAAAACGACTTCACCTGATTCCACCTTCTCACGCACAAAATGGTAGCGTATGTCGATGTGTTTTGTTCTCTTATGGAACTCCGGGTTCTTGGCGAGAGCGATTGATCCTTGGTTGTCTTCATACATCTTGATCGCTTCGTCACTTGTCATCTCACCAAGTTCCCCCAAAAGCACTTTGAGCCATACTGCTTCTTTGGTTGCTTCGGAAAGCGCCATGTATTCTGCTTCTGTTGAAGATAGCGCGACCGTCCGTTGTTTCTGGCTTTTCCAGCTGATGCATCCTCCGCTCATCATGAACACATAGCCGCTTGTACTTCGTCTTGACTCAATGTCGCCGGCCCAGTCTGCGTCGGTGTACCCGCAGATACGGCTTCCTTCTTCACGTGTAAACTCAAGACCATGATTGGGCGTTGCTTGCAGGTATCTCAGCACACGCTTCAAAGCTTGCCAGTGAGTCGGGCATGGGTCGGACGAGAACTGGGATAATGATCCCACTGCAGCAGCTAGATCCGGACGTGTGGCGACCATGAGATACATGATGCCTCCGACAGCACTTCGATATGGCACGTTGCACATGGTGTCTTCGTGCTTGCATTCTTGTTCACACATGTTCTTGGTTAGCTTCAGGCCGGGATCTTGAGGCGTCTTCACTGGCTTGCTGTTATCCATTCCGAACTTGGTTAACACGGACTTGAGAAACTTGGTTTGTTGTACAGTCACCATTCCCGTCTTACGGTCGTTCTTGATCTCCATGCCGAGAAAGTAATCGAGCTCACCGAGATCCGTCATTTCGAAGCGTTTGCTCAGCGCCATCTCGGTTGACTTGAGGAGTTCGTTGTTGCTGCTGGCCAGGATGAGATCATCGACGTAGAGCACCACGAGAATCATGTCTTGGTCGTCTTGTTGTAACTTGAGCGCGAGGCGAAGAGAAAACGAAGCGGAGAGACCGGAGAGAACGAAGCAGAGAACACTTGCTCACTTGAGGGAGGATTCGAAAGTGATTGATTTATAGGTCTTAACTTCTGCCTACCCTAGACTGCATCCAATCACATGGTGCATCTAATCAACCTGATTTACACGCGTCCAATCATCCTACGCGTCTAATCATCTCTGAGGTAATTACCGATGTAAAAACTATCTCGTAAGAACTACGCGCTAGGTTCGGATTGTACCGGTAACCCTCAATACGCCCCCTCAATCCGAACACGCACGGATGCCAAGCGCCGCCGTCAAGTCCTTGTGACGCGGTCCGTGAAGTCCCTTCGTCATGATGTCCGCCAACATCAACGTCGTCTCGCAGTATTCAAGCTTCACTTCGCCGCGCTTGACTTCATCACGGATGTGATGGTACTTGATGTCGATGTGTTTAGCGCGGCCGTGGTTGACCGGATTCTTCGTCATCTTGATGCACGACTGGTTGTCTTCACGGATGACGAGCTCGGGTCCTTCTTCGTTTGCAGCCGCCATGATCTCGCACAGCAAGCGATTGATCCACTTGCCTTCTTGGATCGCCAGGCTGAGCGCGATGTACTCCGCTTCGCTTGTAGACAGTGACACACTTGGCTGTTTCTTGCTGCCCCAACTCACCGGAGCACCCAATAGCATGAAGACGTAGCCGGACGTCGATTTGCGATCAGCAAGGTCACCGGCCCAGTCTGCATCTGAATAGCCACGAAAGTCGATCTTCGCACTTGGCTTGTAGCAGATTCCATGCATCTTGGTGCCTTGTAGGTAGCGGAAGATGCGCTTGACTGCAACCCAGTGTTCTTCTTGGGGTTTCTCCATGAACCGTGACACAAAGCTTACAGCATAGGCGATGTCCGGTCGCGTTGCAGTCGTCAGATGCATCAAAGCACCCACTGCTTCACGGAATGGGACATTCACCTTGCTTGCAGAGTTGCTTGGAACCAGTCGAGAGCTGACGTCCACCGGACTTGCCACAGCCTTGCACTCATCCATTCCAAAGCGCTTGAGGACATCGTCGACATAACGGCGCTGACACATAGTCACGCTGCCATCTTCACCGTCCAATAACTCGATCCCAAGAACAAAGGCACACTTGCCGCTGTCCGTCATCTCGAAGCGTGTCTTGAGGTCGTTCTTGGTGCGCGCAATCATCTCGAGCGAGCTTCCAGTCACCAAGACATCGTCCACGTAGACCAGCACAAAAACACAATGGCCTTCCGAAGTCATGATGTAGAGACATGGATCGAATCCCGACGCTTGAAAACCAATCGAGCGTATGAACTCGTCGAAGGTCTCGTTCCAAACACGCGAGGCTTGCTTGAGACCGTAGATCGCCTTGATCAGCTCGAGACAGTCGAAATCACCTTCCATCTTGACGCCTTCCGGAACAGCGCAGAACACCTTCTCCTTCATCACTCCATACAGGAACGCAGTCACCACATCGAGCTGGTCGAGGGGCCATCCAAAGTGCTTGGTAATGGCGATGACCATTCGCAGCGTCACATACTTGACCACGGGCGAGAACGTCTCCGTGTAGTCGATGCCATACTTTTGGCGAAAACCCTTGGCCACAAGTCGTGCCTTGTATTTCTCGATCGACCCATCCGCCTTGCGCTTGATCTTGAAGACCCACTTTGTGCCAATGGCGCTTTGTCCGTTGGGTAACTTGGCCGCACGAAAGACACCGCGAAGCTTCATCGAATCGAGCTCCGCATCAATTGCCTTGCGCCAGTGTACTTGGTCCGGGCCAGACACTGCTTCTTCAAATGTCGACGGCTCCGAAAAATCGACCGCTGCTTCGACGGCGTTTGCACTCGCATGCCAAAACGCGGAGGAAGTCGGTGTGTCATGTTGTTCCTCCGACTTCCTTTCTTCATCTTCGTTGGCTCGACGTGAAGAGAGGTCATCCGGCGCACTTGACTCTTCCAATCCGGGTCGTTGGCGCACTGCTCGGGGCATGCTTGCGTCGTCATTGTCGTGACTGGGTTGGGCCTTGCGCTTTCCTGTTTGTTTGAAGTGTCTCGGACGCGGTTCTTCATCATCAAGATCGATCGATTCAAAGTCCAGGCCATCAACATCGTCATCGGAAATCAGCATCGACATTCCAAAGGCCGACTCATCGAAGTTGACATCGCGACTTATCATCACCTGCCCCGCTTCGATGTCGTAAACTCGATACGCCTTGGACACTTCTTCGTAGCCCAAAAACAATCCAGCCCGGGCCTTGGGATCCCACTTGAGTCGTTTCTCCTTCGGGGTCAAGATGTATGCTTGGCACCCAAAAACGCGCATGTGCTTGACACTTGGCTTAGAATTGTAGACAATCTCGAACGGTGTCTTGTGTGGAATCTTGGGTGACGGCAAACGGTTCTTCACATAGACGGCCGTCATTGCCGCTTCAGCCCAGAAGCACTTGTCCAACTTGGCATGATGGAGCATGCTACGACCGATGGTGACGATAGTTCGAATCGCGCGTTCAGCAGTTCCATTGGCTTGATGTGCGTATGGCACCGTGGTTTGTTGCTCGATGCCTTCGACTTCGTAGAAATCTTGAAGCGAGTTCGTCGCAAATTCGCGGGCTCCATCGTGTCGCACAAATTTGACCTTCTTGTTGAACTGCGTCTGTATCATCGTGATGTACTTCTTGATGCACTCTTCGCTCTCTGACTTGGAATGCAGACAAAAACCCTTCATGCATCCGCTGGCTTCATCCACGATCAGCAGCAGATACTTGCTGCCACCCAGAGATTTTTCTTCCATGGGTCCGCAGATGTCGAAGTGGAGCATCTCGAAGGTGTTGTAGGTGCGCTTGTCACGGTTGCTCGGGAATGGTTTTTGGACCATCTTCCCTTCTTGGCATCCTCGACACACACTTGATCCATTCGGCTTGGAAGGGATGTGAGCGTCCTTGATCATGTGGCTTGTCACCATCCTGCGAAGCACGTCTACTGGAGCATGGCCCATTCGCGCATGTAGATCAACAGCGTTGCTGAGTGATGTCGCATTGGCCGATCGCTGCGTCGTGCGAAGCCAGTAGAGTCCGTCTACAAGATCCGCAGCTGCCACCACTTGATTGGAATCCTTGCGAGCGACGTACATCGTATCCCCGTCAAACACCACTTGGAAGTTGCCGTGCTTGTTAATCTGCGGCACCGAGAGCAGATTTTTGCTCATGCTGGGCACATAGAGCGCGTTCTTGATCTCGATCTCGCGCTCTTCCCCCGTTTGGCAGAATCACCTTTTCCACGATGGTCCCCACACCTTTGATGGCCGCCTTGTTGCCATCAGCCACCAGGATCTCGCCATCATTGCCTTCGACCAAGCTTGCAAACTTGAACTTGTCGTGGCAGATGTGATGTGTTGCCCCGCTGTCAACGGCCCACATTCCTGGTCCATTCTTGTTCGTCGAAACTCCGCATTCGAACGAAACTGCAAACGCCACTCGATCGTAGCTGTTGCCTTCATCATAATGTCGCCACTGGACATTGTTTGCCCCGCGTCCACGACCATTGCCGCCGCGTTGGGCTCCTCGACTTTCATCCTTTTGCTTCGTCCAGCAACGCTCTGCCGTGTGCCCCACCTTGCCGCAGTATGTGCATTGGTAGGGCTTGCGCTCGGTACTGAATGCCTTTGTCGCATCTTCAGTCTTCACCGTTGTCGTTGCCGTTGTCATCTTCTCGCCTTGTCGCTTGATGTGCTCGTTAGTCAGCACCTTGACCACATCTTGCGTGCGCAGCTCTGCATTGCTCATCTCCAAGTTCAGAACCACGTTCTCGAAACTCTTCGGGAGACTGAGCAGCAAGCAGATCGCAATGTCTTCGTCTTCCATCTTGGCACCGATGCTGCTGAGCTTGGCGCCGATGTTCAAGACTTCGTTGCAATGGTGCAAGACGTTGGCACCTTCCGCCATCTTGATGCTGAACAGCTGGCGCTTGAGGTAGATGCGTCCCGCCTTCTGCGACCCACCATAGAGCATCTTCAACCGCGACCACGCTGTCCATGCTTCTTCACAGTTGTCGACCACATGGTGGTAGTCGGCGTCCATGTGGAGCAACATCAACCCGAACGCGATGTTGCTCGCCTTGACGTACTCGTCGGAAGCTCGCGTGTCGGTGAAGGTTGGAGACGTTTCGCGGTTCACGACGTACCAGACTGACTTCGTCAGAAACACGCCGCGCATGTAGCGACACCAGGTTGAGTAGTTGTCCCCATCGAACTTATCGATGGAGACACTGGCCGAGGTGTTGTTGGACGACATGGCGCTTGGGCTCATAACCTGTTGTAACTTGAGCGCGAGGCGAAGAGAAAACGAAGCGGAGAGACCGGAGAGAACGAAGCAGAGAACACTTGCTCACTTGAGGGAGGATTCGAAAGTGATTGATTTATAGGTCTTAACTTCTGCCTACCCTAGACTGCATCCAATCACATGGTGCATCTAATCAACCTGATTTACACGCGTCCAATCATCCTACGCGTCTAATCATCTCTGAGGTAATTACCGATGTAAAAACTATCTCGTAAGAACTACGCGCTAGGTTCGGATTGTACCGGTAACCCTCAATACGTCTCGCTTGATGTAGATGCAGTGGTCCGATTCGCACTTCTTGAATCCCATCTTGATCATGAACCCATCGATTGTTTGGTTCCACATGCGAGGCGATTGCTTCAAGCCGTAGAGTGATCTCTTTAGCTTGCACACATAGTCCGGCTGTGTTGCATCCAGGTATCCGTCCGGCTGGTCCATGTAGATGTCTTCGTTGAGGGAGCCGTTAAGAAACGCTGTCTTGACGTCCATCTTGATGAACTTTAGACTTCTTGGTCCGAGTGCAAAACGCAAAGTGAATATATATTTATAATAGGTACTTAGTTCGCAACTTTGAATACTACCTCTAAGCCTATTATTCGCAGTGACGTCATCCAGTGACGTCACCCACTGACGTCACCCACTGACGTCATGCAATGACGTCATCCAGTGACGTCATTTCCTGACTTCGCCCTTACTGGTACATACCGGTACCCACCGGTATAGCGAAGCTTGGTCTTCCACTTGCTTCAACACTTGACGCAGCTTGACGAGGTGTCTTCTTCACAGCCGCTGTCTTTTCAACACTCCCTCTCGACTCGTTAGCTGCGGCACCTTGGATCCCAAGTCGATCGCGAATGTTTTCAAATTGTACAGCGGCGATCGGCTTGGTCATCATGTCTGCCAGCATATCTTGAGTCGGGCAATACTCCAAAACGACTTCACCTGATTCCACCTTCTCACGCACAAAATGGTAGCGTATGTCGATGTGTTTTGTTCTCTTATGGAACTCCGGGTTCTTGGCGAGAGCGATTGATCCTTGGTTGTCTTCATACATCTTGATCGCTTCGTCGCTTGTCATCTCACCAAGTTCCCCCAAAAGCACTTTGAGCCATACTGCTTCTTTGGTTGCTTCGGAAAGCGCCATGTATTCTGCTTCTGTTGAAGATAGCGCGACCGTCCGTTGTTTCTGGCTTTTCCAGCTGATGCATCCTCCGCTCATCATGAACACATAGCCGCTTGTACTTCGTCTTGACTCAATGTCGCCGGCCCAGTCTGCGTCGGTGTACCCGCAGATACGGCTTCCTTCTTCACGTGTAAACTCAAGACCATGATTGGGCGTTGCTTGTGTTGAAAAGACAGCGGCTGTGAAGAAGACACCTCGTCAAGCTGCGTCAAGTGTTGAAGCAAGTGGAAGACCAAGCTTCGCTATACCGGTGGGTACCGGTATGTACCAGTAAGGGCGAAGTCAGGAAATGACGTCACTGGATGACGTCACTGCGAATAATAGGCTTAGAGGTAGTATTCAAAGTTGCGAACTAAGTACCTATTATAAATATATATTCACTTTGCGTTTTGCACTCGGACCAAGAAGTCTAAAGTTCATCAGGTTATGAGCCCAAGTTCGTCAGACTCTGAAACCGCCAACAATTCAAGCTTAGCTGCCATGGACGCCTCCTCCCTCCGCATCTCCAAGTTCGATGGAACTAACTTCCACGCCTGGAAGTTCAAGATGCAGATGGTGCTGGAGGAACGGGACCTATGGGAGGTCGTCAGCGGTGAGATCAAGGCGGAACAGTGCGAGACTCAGTTGGACCAAGCGACGTACAAGAGGAAGTCAAGAAAGGCGATGGCAGTGATCTGTCTAGCCATGGAAGATTCCCAGCTACCGTTGGTCCGGTCGGCAAGTGGTGCATGCGACGCATGGTCAAGGTTGGAAGACCACTTCGAGAAGAAGAGTCTTGCCAACAAGCTGTTCTTGCGCCGTCGCTTCTTCACGACAATGATGGAAGAAGGCGACGATGTGCTCGAACACATCAACAAGCTCAAGACGCTGGCGGAACAGCTAGAAGCGGTGGGGGCTCCAGTCTGCGAGGACGATCTGGTGATCACACTCCTCGGCAGCCTGAGTGACTCGTATCAATTCTTGATCACAGCTTTGGAGTCGCGCTCAGACACTCTTAGCTGGGAGCTCGTGACGTCTCGACTGCTTCATGAAGAAATGAAGCGGAAGGAGCAAGGAAGTAAAGGTGATGAAGCTTCGCAAGGTCAAGCGTTCATCACAAGGGACAATCAGCGCAAAGGGCGACCAGTGAAGAAGTCCTGGCCGTGCCACAATTGCGGAAAGATTGGTCACTGGATGGCGGAGTGCCCCTCGCGCATCCAAGAAAACACGGAGAGACACCGGCCACAGCGTGCTCAAGACAGCGGCGACCGCTATCGATCACAACGTGCAAACGTCGCTCAAGAAGAAGACTCGGGCGACTACCTCTTTCGATCGGTGAAACGACATCTGCGAAATCGAGCGACATCTGGCTGGTCGACTCCGGGGCGACGCAGCACATGACGTGCTCCAAGAAGTTCATGCGGAACTACAAGGGGTTTGACGCTGTGGATGTCCATCTCGCGGATGATGGAATCGTCCAAGCAATCGGCAGTGGGGACATTGTCATGTCGATGAAGACACCCCAAGGGATGAAGAAAGGTGTGCTCACAAACGTGTGGCACATCCCAAAGTTATCCAGAAACCTGTTCTCGGTCGGCCGCTTCACCAAGGATGTCGGCCCAGTGACGTTCACGAAGGATGGGTGCTATGGAAAAGCGAAAGGGACCAAGTGGAAAATTGGTGCCCGTGAAGGTAAAGGACTGTTCAAGCTGCAAATGACTTCAAGTCGGCGATGGAATCAAGCGACTCCGGCAAGTGGAAAGAAGCGTGTGACTCGGAGTTCGACTCGCTTCAGAGAAACGACACGTGGGAAATCGTGCCTCTTCCGAAAGGTCGCAAGGCCATCGGGTGCCGATGGGTTTTTCGTGTAAAGGAGAATCAAGATGGCGAAGTTGAACGTTTCAAGGCAAGACTTGTGGCCAAAGGATTCTCACAGAAATTCGGAGTTGACTATGAAGAAACTTTCGCACCGGTGGCCAAGTTCACATCGATTCGTGTGGTGCTCAGTATGGCGGCTAAGTACGGCCTAATGCTACATCAGATGGACGTCAAGACAGCGTTTCTTAACGGCTCCCTCAACGAAGACATCTACATGGACCAGCCGGACGGATACCTGGATGCAACACAGCCGGACTATGTGTGCAAGCTAAAGAGATCACTCTACGGCTTGAAGCAATCGCCTCGCATGTGGAACCAAACAATCGATGGGTTCATGATCAAGATGAGATTCAAGAAGTGCGAATCGGACCACTGCATCTACATCAAGCGAGACGACCAAGACATGATTCTCGTGGTACTCTACGTCGATGATCTCATCCTGGCCAGCAGCAACAACGAACTCCTCAAGTCAACCAAGATGGCGCTGAGCAAACGCTTCGAAATGACGGATCTCGGTGAGCTCGATTACTTTCTCGGCATGGAGATCAAGAACGACCGTAAGACGGGAATGGTGACTGTACAACAAACCAAGTTCCTCAAGTCCGTGTTAACCAAGTTCGGAATGGATAACAGCAAGCCAGTGAAGACGCCTCAAGATCCCGGCCTGAAGCTAACCAAGAACATGTGTGAACAAGAATGCAAGCACGAAGACACCATGTGCAACGTGCCATATCGAAGTGCTGTCGGAGGCATCATGTATCTCATGGTCGCCACACGTCCGGATCTAGCTGCTGCAGTGGGATCATTATCCCAGTTCTCGTCCGACCCATGCCCGACTCACTGGCAAGCTTTGAAGCGTGTGCTGAGATACCTGCAAGCAACGCCCAATCATGGTCTTGAGTTTACACGTGAAGAAGGAAGCCGTATCTGCGGGTACACCGACGCAGACTGGGCCGGCGACATTGAGTCAAGACGAAGTACAAGCGGCTATGTGTTCATGATGAGCGGAGGATGCATCAGCTGGAAAAGCCAGAAACAACGGACGGTCGCGCTATCTTCAACAGAAGCAGAATACATGGCGCTTTCCGAAGCAACCAAAGAAGCAGTATGGCTCAAGGTGCTTTTGGGGGAACTTGGTGAGATGACAAGCGACGAAGCGATCAAGATGTATGAAGACAACCAAGGATCAATCGCTCTCGCCAAGAACCCGGAGTTCCATAAGAGAACAAAACACATCGACATACGCTACCATTTTGTGCGTGAGAAGGTGGAATCAGGTGAAGTCGTTTTGGAGTATTGCCCGACTCAAGATATGCTGGCAGACATGATGACCAAGCCGATCGCCGCTGTACAATTTGAAAACATTCGCGATCGACTTGGGATCCAAGGTGCCGCAGCTAACGAGTCGAGAGGGAGTGTTGAAAAGACAGCGGCTGTGAAGAAGACACCTCGTCAAGCTGCGTCAAGTGTTGAAGCAAGTGGAAGACCAAGCTTCGCTATACCGGTGGGTACCGGTATGTACCAGTAAGGGCGAAGTCAGGAAATGACGTCACTGGATGACGTCACTGCGAATAATAGGCTTAGAGGTAGTATTCAAAGTTGCGAACTAAGTACCTATTATAAATATATATTCACTTTGCGTTTTGCACTCGGACCAAGAAGTCTAAAGTTCATCAGCTTGCAGGTATCTCAGCACACGCTTCAAAGCTTGCCAGTGAGTCGGGCATGGGTCGGACGAGAACTGGGATAATGATCCCACTGCAGCAGCTAGATCCGGACGTGTGGCGACCATGAGATACATGATGCCTCCGACAGCACTTCGATATGGCACGTTGCACATGGTGTCTTCGTGCTTGCATTCTTGTTCACACATGTTCTTGGTTAGCTTCAGGCCGGGATCTTGAGGCGTCTTCACTGGCTTGCTGTTATCCATTCCGAACTTGGTTAACACGGACTTGAGAAACTTGGTTTGTTGTACAGTCACCATTCCCGTCTTACGGTCGTTCTTGATCTCCATGCCGAGAAAGTAATCGAGCTCACCGAGATCCGTCATTTCGAAGCGTTTGCTCAGCGCCATCTTGGTTGACTTGAGGAGTTCGTTGTTGCTGCTGACCAGGATGAGATCATCGACGTAGAGTACCACGAGAATCATGTCTTGGTCGTCTCGCTTGATGTAGATGCAGTGGTCCGATTCGCACTTCTTGAATCCCATCTTGATCATGAACCCATCGATTGTTTGGTTCCACATGCGAGGCGATTGCTTCAAGCCGTAGAGTGATCTCTTTAGCTTGCACACATAGTCCGGCTGTGTTGCATCCAGGTATCCGTCCGGCTGGTCCATGTAGATGTCTTCGTTGAGGGAGCCGTTAAGAAACGCTGTCTTGACGTCCATCTTGATGAACTTTAGACTTCTTGGTCCGAGTGCAAAACGCAAAGTGAATATATATTTATAATAGGTACTTAGTTCGCAACTTTGAATACTACCTCTAAGCCTATTATTCGCAGTGACGTCATCCAGTGACGTCACCCACTGACGTCACCCACTGACGTCATGCAATGACGTCATCCAGTGACGTCATTTCCTGACTTCGCCCTTACTGGTACATACCGGTACCCACCGGTATAGCGAAGCTTGGTCTTCCACTTGCTTCAACACTTGACGCAGCTTGACGAGGTGTCTTCTTCACAGCCGCTGTCTTTTCAACACTCCCTCTCGACTCGTTAGCTGCGGCACCTTGGATCCCAAGTCGATCGCGAATGTTTTCAAATTGTACAGCGGCGATCGGCTTGGTCATCATGTCTGCCAGCATATCTTGAGTCGGGCAATACTCCAAAACGACTTCACCTGATTCCACCTTCTCACGCACAAAATGGTAGCGTATGTCGATGTGTTTTGTTCTCTTATGGAACTCCGGGTTCTTGGCGAGAGCGATTGATCCTTGGTTGTCTTCATACATCTTGATCGCTTCGTCGCTTGTCATCTCACCAAGTTCCCCCAAAAGCACTTTGAGCCATACTGCTTCTTTGGTTGCTTCGGAAAGCGCCATGTATTCTGCTTCTGTTGAAGATAGCGCGACCGTCCGTTGTTTCTGGCTTTTCCAGCTGATGCATCCTCCGCTCATCATGAACACATAGCCGCTTGTACTTCGTCTTGACTCAATGTCGCCGGCCCAGTCTGCGTCGGTGTACCCGCAGATACGGCTTCCTTCTGCACGTGTAAACTCAAGACCATGATTGGGCGTTGCTTGCAGGTATCTCAGCACACGCTTCAAAGCTTGCCAGTGAGTCGGGCATGGGTCGGACGAGAACTGGGATAATGATCCCACTGCAGCAGCTAGATCCGGACGTGTGGCGACCATGAGATACATGATGCCTCCGACAGCACTTCGATATGGCACGTTGCACATGGTGTCTTCGTGCTTGCATTCTTGTTCACACATGTTCTTGGTTAGCTTCAGGCCGGGATCTTGAGGCGTCTTCACTGGCTTGCTGTTATCCATTCCGAACTTGGTTAACACGGACTTGAGAAACTTGGTTTGTTGCACAGTCACCATTCCCGTCTTACGGTCGTTCTTGATCTCCATGCCGAGAAAGTAATCGAGCTCACCGAGATCCGTCATTTCGAAGCGTTTGCTCAGCGCCATCTTGGTCGACTTGAGGAGTTCGTTGTTGCTGCTGGCCAGGATGAGATCATCGACGTAGAGCACCACGAGAATCATGTCTTGGTCGTCTCGCTTGATGTAGATGCAGTGGTCCGATTCGCACTTCTTGAATCCCATCTTGATCATGAACCCATCGATTGTTTGGTTCCACATGCGAGGCGATTGCTTCAAGCCGTAGAGTGATCTCTTTAGCTTGCACACATAGTCCGGCTGTGTTGCATCCAGGTATCCGTCCGGCTGGTCCATGTAGATGTCTTCGTTGAGGGAGCCGTTAAGAAACGCTGTCTTGACGTCCATCTGATGTAGCATTAGGCCGTACTTAGCCGCCATACTGAGCACCACACGAATCGATGTGAACTTGGCCACCGGTGCGAAAGTTTCTTCATAGTCAACTCCGAATTTCTGTGAGAATCCTTTGGCCACAAGTCTTGCCTTGAAACGTTCAACTTCGCCATCTTGATTCTCCTTTACACGAAAAACCCATCGGCACCCGATGGCCTTGCGACCTTTCGGAAGAGGCACGATTTCCCACGTGTCGTTTCTCTGAAGCGAATCGAACTCCGAGTCACACGCTTCTTTCCACTTGCCGGAGTCGCTTGATTCCATCGCCGACTTGAATGTAGTCGGCGTTTCCCCCACTGAATCAACGATGTAGGCTGCTTCAAAATCCATTGCAGCCGCTGACACATGCTCAAGCGACGGACCTCTGTATGTTCTTCGCTTGGGACTTGGAATGACGGTAGCTTTCTCAAGTGATTGAGTGCGCGTGTGTCTCTTGATGTTGCTCTTCGAAGACCTGGTGTCTTCGTTGTCATCGTCGCTCGAGTCCATGTCGTCGTCAGTTTTACCTTCTTCTTTTTCTTCGTCCTCATCATGATCATCAAACTCAACGACACTTGACTCATCGTTGTAGTTGCGCGGACCTTCATCAAACTTGTCTTCCATGAATGTGGCATCGCGACTGATCTTGATCGCTCCTGTTGACACTTCCTCAAATCGATATGACTTCTGGTGTTCGGCGTATCCCAGGAAACGACAGAGTGATGACTTGGAGTCGAACTTCGCGCGTTTGTCTTGAGGCACTTGAACATACGCGTGGCATCCAAACACTTTAAGGTTGGCCAGAATCGGTTTCTTCATCGTCCACACTTGATATGGAGACTTGTCTTGGTGAATGGCACGTGTTGGACAGCGGTTTCGAAGAAACATCGCCGTCATCACTGCTTCACCCCAGTAGCTCTTTCCCAGTCCAGCGTGTTCCATCATGCAACGCGCACACTCGACCAGCGTGCGATTCATTCTCTCAGCTACTCCGTTTAGCTGAGGAGTATATGGGGGTGTGAACCTTTGTTGTATTCCCCGTTCCGCGCAGAATCGTGCCAGCTTGTCGGACTTGTATTCACCCCCATTGTCGCTTTGAAGGTACTTCACGCGCTTTCCGGTTTGCGTTTCGGCCATCGCAGCGTATTCCATGAACTTCGCCGCAACTTCAGATTTGCTCTTGAGCAGATAGACGACACAGTATCTTGACTTGTCATCAATGAATGTCACGAAGTACCGTTTTCCACTGAAAGTTGCCATCGACATCGGTCCGCATACGTCGCTGTGAATCACTTCGAGGAGTTTGGAGGTGCGAGCTGTAGTGTTTGATTGGAAGCGCACTCGAGTCTGTTTTCCCAGAGCACAACCTTCACACACGTCCCACTTCTTCACCGAAGATATGTCGATGCCAATTCCAATGTTCTTCGTCACGATGCAATTGAGTCCATCGTGACCTATGTGGCCAAGCCGAAGGTGCCAGAGGTACGACTTGGTGCCCCCTTGACATCCCGACGACTTGGCTGCATTTGCTTGTTCCGGCGCCACTGGAGTCATTTGCAGCTTGAACAGTCCTTTACCTTCACGGGCACCAATTTTCCACTTGGTCCCTTTCGCTTCTCCATAGCACCCATCCTTCGTGAACGTCACTGGGCCGACATCCTTGGTGAAGCGGCCGACCGAGAACAGGTTTCTGGATAACTTTGGGATGTGCCACACGTTTGTGAGCACACCTTTCTTCATCCCTTGGGGTGTCTTCATCGACATGACAATGTCCCCACTGCCGATTGCTTGGACGATTCCATCATCCGCGAGATGGACATCCACAGCGTCAAACCCCTTGTAGTTCCGCATGAACTTCTTGGAGCACGTCATGTGCTGCGTCGCCCCGGAGTCGACCAGCCAGATGTCGCTCGATTTCGCAGATGTCGTTTCACCGATCGAAAAGAGGTAGTCGCCCGAGTCTTCTTCTTGAGCGACGTTTGCACGTTGTGATCGATAGCGGTCGCCGCTGTCTTGAGCACGCTGTGGCCGGTGTCTCTCCGTGTTTTCTTGGATGCGCGAGGGGCACTCCGCCATCCAGTGACCAATCTTTCCGCAATTGTGGCACGGCCAGGACTTCTTCACTGGTCGCCCTTTGCGCTGATTGTCCCTTGTGATGAACGCTTGACCTTGCGAAGCTTCATCACCTTTACTTCCTTGCTCCTTCCGCTTCATTTCTTCATGAAGCAGTCGAGACGTCACGAGCTCCCAGCTAAGAGTGTCTGAGCGCGACTCCAAAGCTGTGATCAAGAATTGATACGAGTCACTCAGGCTGCCGAGGAGTGTGATCACCAGATCGTCCTCGCAGACTGGAGCCCCCACCGCTTCTAGCTGTTCCGCCAGCGTCTTGAGCTTGTTGATGTGTTCGAGCACATCGTCGCCTTCTTCCATCATTGTCGTGAAGAAGCGACGGCGCAAGAACAGCTTGTTGGCAAGACTCTTCTTCTCGAAGTGGTCTTCCAACCTTGACCATGCGTCGCATGCACCACTTGCCGACCGGACCAACGGTAGCTGGGAATCTTCCATGGCTAGACAGATCACTGCCATCGCCTTTCTTGACTTCCTCTTGTACGTCGCTTGGTCCAACTGAGTCTCGCACTGTTCCGCCTTGATCTCACCGCTGACGACCTCCCATAGGTCCCGTTCCTCCAGCACCATCTGCATCTTGAACTTCCAGGCGTGGAAGTTAGTTCCATCGAACTTGGAGATGCGGAGGGGGAGGAGGCGTCCATGGCAGCTAAGCTTGAATTGTTGGCGGTTTCAGAGTCTGACGAACTTGGGCTCATAACCTGATGAACTTTAGACTTCTTGGTCCGAGTGCAAAACGCAAAGTGAATATATATTTATAATAGGTACTTAGTTCGCAACTTTGAATACTACCTCTAAGCCTATTATTCGCAGTGACGTCACCCACTGACGTCATGCAATGACGTCATCCAGTGACGTCATTTCCTGACTTCGCCCTTACTGGTACATACCGGTACCCACCGGTATAGCGAAGCTTGGTCTTCCACTTGCTTCAACACTTGACGCAGCTTGACGAGGTGTCTTCTTCACAGCCGCTGTCTTTTCAACATAGTCAACTCCGAATTTCTGTGAGAATCCTTTGGCCACAAGTCTTGCCTTGAAACGTTCAACTTCGCCATCTTGATTCTCCTTTACACGAAAAACCCATCGGCACCCGATGGCCTTGCGACCTTTCGGAAGAGGCACGATTTCCCACGTGTCGTTTCTCTGAAGCGAATCGAACTCCGAGTCACACGCTTCTTTCCACTTGCCGGAGTCGCTTGATTCCATCGCCGACTTGAATGTAGTCGGCGTTTCCCCCACTGAATCAACGATGTAGGCTGCTTCAAAATCCATTGCAGCCGCTGACACATGCTCAAGCGACGGACCTCTGTATGTTCTTCGCTTGGGACTTGGAATGACGGTAGCTTTCTCAAGTGATTGAGTGCGCGTGTGTCTCTTGATGTTGCTCTTCGAAGACCTGGTGTCTTCGTTGTCATCGTCGCTCGAGTCCATGTCGTCGTCAGTTTTACCTTCTTCTTTTTCTTCGTCCTCATCATGATCATCAAACTCAACGACACTTGACTCATCGTTGTAGTTGCGCGGACCTTCATCAAACTTGTCTTCCATGAATGTGGCATCGCGACTGATCTTGATCGCTCCTGTTGACACTTCCTCAAATCGATATGACTTCTGGTGTTCGGCGTATCCCAGGAAACGACAGAGTGATGACTTGGAGTCGAACTTCGCGCGTTTGTCTTGAGGCACTTGAACATACGCGTGGCATCCAAACACTTTAAGGTTGGCCAGAATCGGTTTCTTCATCGTCCACACTTGATATGGAGACTTGTCTTGGTGAATGGCACGTGTTGGACAGCGGTTTCGAAGAAACATCGCCGTCATCACTGCTTCACCCCAGTAGCTCTTTCCCAGTCCAGCGTGTTCCATCATGCAACGCGCACACTCGACCAGCGTGCGATTCATTCTCTCAGCTACTCCGTTTAGCTGAGGAGTATATGGGGGTGTGAACCTTTGTTGTATTCCCCGTTCCGCGCAGAATCGTGCCAGCTTGTCGGACTTGTATTCACCCCCATTGTCGCTTTGAAGGTACTTCACGCGCTTTCCGGTTTGCGTTTCGGCCATCGCAGCGTATTCCATGAACTTCGCCGCAACTTCAGATTTGCTCTTGAGCAGATAGACGACACAGTATCTTGACTTGTCATCAATGAATGTCACGAAGTACCGTTTTCCACTGAAAGTTGCCATCGACATCGGTCCGCATACGTCGCTGTGAATCACTTCGAGGAGTTTGGAGGTGCGAGCTGTAGTGTTTGATTGGAAGCGCACTCGAGTCTGTTTTCCCAGAGCACAACCTTCACACACGTCCCACTTCTTCACCGAAGATATGTCGATGCCAATTCCAATGTTCTTCGTCACGATGCAATTGAGTCCATCGTGACCTATGTGGCCAAGCCGAAGGTGCCAGAGGTACGACTTGGTGCCCCCTTGACATCCCGACGACTTGGCTGCATTTGCTTGTTCCGGCGCCACTGGAGTCATTTGCAGCTTGAACAGTCCTTTACCTTCACGGGCACCAATTTTCCACTTGGTCCCTTTCGCTTCTCCATAGCACCCATCCTTCGTGAACGTCACTGGGCCGACATCCTTGGTGAAGCGGCCGACCGAGAACAGGTTTCTGGATAGCTTTGGGATGTGCCACACGTTTGTGAGCACACCTTTCTTCATCCCTTGGGGTGTCTTCATCGACATGACAATGTCTCCACTGCCGATTGCTTGACGATTCCATCATCCGCGAGATGGACATCCACAGCGTCAAACCCCTTGTAGTTCCGCATGAACTTCTTGGAGACGTCATGTGCTGCGTCGCCCCGGAGTCGACCAGCAGATGTCGCTGATTTCGCAGATGTCGTTTACGATCAAAAGAGGTAGTCGCCCGTGTTGAAAAGACAGCGGCTGTGAAGAAGACACCTCGTCAAGCTGCGTCAAGTGTTGAAGCAAGTGGAAGACCAAGCTTCGCTATACCGGTGGGTACCGGTATGTACCAGTAAGGGCGAAGTCAGGAAATGACGTCACTGGATGACGTCATTGCATGACGTCAGTGGGTGACGTCAGTGGGTGACGTCACTGGATGACGTCACTGCGAATAATAGGCTTAGAGGTAGTATTCAAAGTTGCGAACTAAGTACCTATTATAAATATATATTCACTTTGCGTTTTGCACTCGGACCAAGAAGTCTAAAGTTCATCAGGTTATGAGCCCAAGTTCGTCAGACTCTGAAACCGCCAACAATTCAAGCTTAGCTGCCATGGACGCCTCCTCCCTCCGCATCTCCAAGTTCGATGGAACTAACTTCCACGCCTGGAAGTTCAAGATGCAGATGGTGCTGGAGGAACGGGACCTATGGGAGGTCGTCAGCGGTGAGATCAAGGCGGAACAGTGCGAGACTCAGTTGGACCAAGCGACGTACAAGAGGAAGTCAAGAAAGGCGATGGCAGTGATCTGTCTAGCCATGGAAGATTCCCAGCTACCGTTGGTCCGGTCGGCAAGTGGTGCATGCGACGCATGGTCAAGGTTGGAAGACCACTTCGAGAAGAAGAGTCTTGCCAACAAGCTGTTCTTGCGCCGTCGCTTCTTCACGACAATGATGGAAGAAGGCGACGATGTGCTCGAACACATCAACAAGCTCAAGACGCTGGCGGAACAGCTAGAAGCGGTGGGGGGCTCCAGTCTGCGAGGACGATCTGGTGATCACACTCCTCGGCAGCCTGAGTGACTCGTATCAATTCTTGATCACAGCTTTGGAGTCGCGCTCAGACACTCTTAGCTGGGAGCTCGTGACGTCTCGACTGCTTCATGAAGAAATGAAGCGGAAGGAGCAAGGAAGTAAAGGTGATGAAGCTTCGCAAGGTCAAGCGTTCATCACAAGGGGACAATCAGCGCAAAGGGCGACCAGTGAAGAAGTCCTGGCCGTGCCACAATTGCGGAAAGATTGGTCACTGGATGGCGGAGTGCCCCTCGCGCATCCAAGAAAACACGGAGAGACACCGGCCACAGCGTGCTCAAGACAGCGGCGACCGCTATCGATCACAACGTGCAAACGTCGCTCAAGAAGAAGACTCGGGCGACTACCTCTTTTCGATCGGTGAAACGACATCTGCGAAATCGAGCGACATCTGGCTGGTCGACTCCGGGGCGACGCAGCACATGACGTGCTCCAAGAAGTTCATGCGGAACTACAAGGGGTTTGACGCTGTGGATGTCCATCTCGCGGATGATGGAATCGTCCAAGCAATCGGCAGTGGGGACATTGTCATGTCGATGAAGACACCCCAAGGGATGAAGAAAGGTGTGCTCACAAACGTGTGGCACATCCCAAAGTTATCCAGAAACCTGTTCTCGGTCGGCCGCTTCACCAAGGATGTCGGCCCAGTGACGTTCACGAAGGATGGGTGCTATGGAGAAGCGAAAGGGACCAAGTGGAAAATTGGTGCCCGTGAAGGTAAAGGACTGTTCAAGCTGCAAATGACTCCAGTGGCGCCGGAACAAGCAAATGCAGCCAAGTCGTCGGGATGTCAAGGGGGCACCAAGTCGTACCTCTGGCACCTTCGGCTTGGCCACATAGGTCACGATGGACTCAATTGCATCGTGACGAAGAACATTGGAATTGGCATCGACATATCTTCGGTGAAGAAGTGGGACGTGTGTGAAGGTTGTGCTCTGGGAAAACAGACTCGAGTGCGCTTCCAATCAAACACTACAGCTCGCACCTCCAAACTCCTCGAAGTGATTCACAGCGACGTATGCGGACCGATGTCGATGGCAACTTTCAGTGGAAAACGGTACTTCGTGACATTCATTGATGACAAGTCAAGATACTGTGTCGTCTATCTGCTCAAGAGCAAATCTGAAGTTGCGGCGAAGTTCATGGAATACGCTGCGATGGCCGAAACGCAACCGGAAAGCGCGTGAAGTACCTTCAAAGCGACAATGGGGGTGAATACAAGTCCGACAAGCTGGCACGATTCTGCGCGGAACGGGGAATACAACAAAGGTTCACACCCCATATACTCCTCAGCTAAACGGAGTAGCTGAGAGAATGAATCGCACGCTGGTCGAGTGTGCGCGTTGCATGATGGAACACGCTGGACTGGGAAAGAGCTACTGGGGTGAAGCAGTGATGACGGCGATGTTTCTTCGAAACCGCTGTCCAACACGTGCCATTCACCAAGACAAGTCTCCATATCAAGTGTGGACGATGAAGAAACCGATTCTGGCCAACCTTAAAGTGTTTGGATGCCACGCGTATGTTCAAGTGCCTCAAGACAAACGCGCGAAGTTCGACTCCAAGTCATCACTCTGTCGTTTCCTGGGATACGCCGAACACCAGAAGTCATATCGATTTGAGGAAGTGTCAACAGGAGCGATCAAGATCAGTCGCGATGCCACATTCATGGAAGACAAGTTTGATGAAGGTCCGCGCAACTACAACGATGAGTCAAGTGTCGTTGAGTTTGATGATCATGATGAGGACGAAGAAAAAGAAGAAGGTAAAACTGACGACGACATGGACTCGAGCGACGATGACAACGAAGACACCAGGTCTTCGAAGAGCAACATCAAGAGACACACGCGCACTCAATCACTTGAGAAAGCTACCGTCATTCCAAGTCCCAAGCGAAGAACGTACAGATGTCCGTCGCTTGAGCATGTGTCAGCGGCTGCAATGGATTTTGAAGCAGCCTACATCGTTGATTCAGTGGGGGAAACGCCGACTACATTCAAGTCGGCGATGGAATCAAGCGACTCCGGCAAGTGGAAAGAAGCGTGTGACTCGGAGTTCGACTCGCTTCAGAGAAACGACACGTGGGAAATCGTGCCTCTTCCGAAAGGTCGCAAGGCCATCGGGTGCCGATGGGTTTTTCGTGTAAAGGAGAATCAAGATGGCGAAGTTGAACGTTTCAAGGCAAGACTTGTGGCCAAAGGATTCTCACAGAAATTCGGAGTTGACTATGAAGAAACTTTCGCACCGGTGGCCAAGTTCACATCGATTCGTGTGGTGCTCAGTATGGCGGCTAAGTACGGCCTAATGCTACATCAGATGGACGTCAAGACGGCGTTTCTTAACGGCTCCCTCAACGAAGACATCTACATGGACCAGCCGGACGGATACCTGGATGCAACACAGCCGGACTATGTGTGCAAGCTAAAGAGATCACTCTACGGCTTGAAGCAATCGCCTCGCATGTGGAACCAAACAATCGATGGGTTCATGATCAAGATGGGATTCAAGAAGTGCGAATCGGACCACTGCATCTACATCAAGCGAGACGACCAAGACATGATTCTCGTGGTGCTCTACGTCGATGATCTCATCCTGGCCAGCAGCAACAACGAACTCCTCAAGTCGACCAAGATGGCGCTGAGCAAACGCTTCGAAATGACGGATCTCGGTGAGCCTCGATTACTTTCTCGGCATGGAGATCAAGAACGACCGTAAGACGGGAATGGTGACTGTGCAACAAACCAAGTTTCTCAAGTCCGTGTTAACCAAGTTCGGAATGGATAACAGCAAGCCAGTGAAGACGCCTCAAGATCCCGGCCTGAAGCTAACCAAGAACATGTGTGAACAAGAATGCAAGCACGAAGACACCATGTGCAACGTGCCATATCGAAGTGCTGTCGGAGGCATCATGTATCTCATGGTCGCCACACGTCCGGATCTAGCTGCTGCAGTGGGATCATTATCCCAGTTCTCGTCCGACCCATGCCCGACTCACTGGCAAGCTTTGAAGCGTGTGCTGAGATACCTGCAAGCAACGCCCAACCATGGTCTTGAGTTTACACGTCAAGAAGGAAGCCGTATCTGCGGGTACACCGACGCAGACTGGGCCGGCGACATTGAGTCAAGACGAAGTACAAGCGGCTATGTGTTCATGATGAGCGGAGGATGCATCAGCTGGAAAAGCCAGAAACAACGGACGGTCGCGCTATCTTCAACAGAAGCAGAATACATGGCGCTTTCCGAAGCAACCAAAGAAGCAGTATGGCTCAAGGTGCTTTTGGGGGAACTTGGTGAGATGACAAGCGACGAAGCGATCAAGATGTATGAAGACAACCAAGGATCAATCGCTCTCGCCAAGAACCCGGAGTTCCATAAGAGAACAAAACACATCGACATACGCTACCATTTTGTGCGTGAGAAGGTGGAATCAGGTGAAGTCGTTTTGGAGTATTGCCCGACTCAAGATATGCTGGCAGACATGATGACCAAGCCGATCGCCGCTGTACAATTTGAAAACATTCGCGATCGACTTGGGATCCAAGGTGCCGCAGCTAACGAGTCGAGAGGGAGTGTTGAAAAGACAGCAGCTGTAGAAGAAGACACCTCGTCAAGCTGCGTCAAGTGTTGAAGCAAGTGGAAGACCAAGCTTCGCTATACCGGTGGGTACCGGTATGTACCAGTAAGGGCGAAGTCAGGAAATGACGTCACTGGATGACGTCAGTGGGTGACGTCAGTGGGTGACGTCACTGGATGACGTCACTGCGAATAATAGGCTTAGAGGTAGTATTCAAAGTTGCGAACTAAGTACCTATTATAAATATATATTTACTTTGCGTTTTGCACTCGGACCAAGAAGTCTAAAGTTCATCAGCCCGAGTCTTCTTCTTGAGCGACGTTTGCACGTTGTGATCGATAGCGGTCGCCGCTGTCTTGAGCACGCTGTGGCCGGTGTCTCTCCGTGTTTTCTTGGATGCGCGAGGGGCACTCCGCCATCCAGTGACCAATCTTTCCGCAATTATGGCACGGCCAGGACTTCTTCACTGGTCTCCCTTTGCGCTGATTGTCCCTTGTGATGAACGCTTGACCTTGCGAAGCTTCATCACCTTTACTTCCTTGCTCCTTCCGCTTCATTTCTTCATGAAGCAGTCGAGACGTCACGAGCTCCCAGCTAAGAGTGTCTGAGCGCGACTCCAAAGCTGTGATCAAGAATTGATACGAGTCACTCAGGCTGCCGAGGAGTGTGATCACCAGATCGTCCTCGCAGACTGGAGCCCCCACCGCTTCTAGCTGTTCCGCCAGCGTCTTGAGCTTGTTGATGTGTTCGAGTACATCGTCGCCTTCTTCCATCATTGTCGTGAAGAAGCGACGGCGCAAGAACAGCTTGTTGGCAAGACTCTTCTTCTCGAAGTGGTCTTCCAACCTTGACCATGCGTCGCATGCACCACTTGCCGACCGGACCAACGGTAGCTGGGAATCTTCCATGGCTAGACAGATCACTGCCATCGCCTTTCTTGACTTCCTCTTGTACGTCGCTTGGTCCAACTGAGTCTCGCACTGTTCCGCCTTGATCTCACCGCTGACGACCTCCCATAGGTCCCGTTCCTCCAGCACCATCTGCATCTTGAACTTCCAGGCGTGGAAGTTAGTTCCATCGAACTTGGAGATGCGGAGGGAGGAGGCGTCCATGGCAGCTAAGCTTGAATTGTTGGCGGTTTCAGAGTCTGACGAACTTGGGCTCATAACCTGATGAACTTTAGACTTCTTGGTCCGAGTGCAAAACGCAAAGTGAATATATATTTGTAATAGGTACTTAGTTCGCAACTTTGAATACTACCTCTAAGCCTATTATTCGCAGTGACGTCATCCAGTGACGTCACCCACTGAAGTCACCCACTGACGTCATCCAATGACGTCATTTCCTGACTTCGCCCTTACTGGTACATACCGGTACCCACCGGTATAGCGAAGCTTGGTCTTCCACTTGCTTCAACACTTGACGCAGCTTGACGAGGTGTCTTCTTCACAGCCGCTGTCTTTTCAACAGGACCAAGCGACGTACAAGAGGAAGTCAAGAAAGGCGATGGCAGTGATCTGTCTAGCCATGGAAGATTCCCAGCTACCGTTGGTCCGGTCGGCAAGTGGTGCATGCGACGCATGGTCAAGGTTGGAAGACCACTTCGAGAAGAAGAGTCTTGCCAACAAGCTGTTCTTGCGCCGTCGCTTCTTCACGACAATGATGGAAGAAGGCGACGATGTGCTCGAACACATCAACAAGCTCAAGACGCTGGCGGAACAGCTAGAAGCGGTGGGGGCTCCAGTCTGCGAGGACGATCTGGTGATCACACTTCTCGGCAGCCTGAGTGACTCGTATCAATTCTTGATCACAGCTTTGGAGTCGCGCTCAGACACTCTTAGCTGGGAGCTCGTGATGTCTCGACTGCTTCATGAAGAAATGAAGCGGAAGGAGCAAGGAAGTAAAGGTGATGAAGCTTCGCAAGGTCAAGCGTTCATCACAAGGGACAATCAGCGCAAAGGGCGACCAGTGAAGAAGTCCTGGCCGTGCCACAATTGCGGAAAGATTGGTCACTGGATGGCGGAGTGCCCCTCGCGCATCCAAGAAAACACGGAGAGACACCGGCCACAGCGTGCTCAAGACAGCGGCGACCGCTATCGATCACAACGTGCAAACGTCGCTCAAGAAGAAGACTCGGGCGACTACCTCTTTTCGATCGGTGAAACGACATCTGCGAAATCGAGCGACATCTGGCTGGTCGACTCCGGGGCGACGCAGCACATGACGTGCTCCAAGAAGTTCATGCGGAACTACAAGGGGTTTGACGCTGTGGATGTCCATCTCGCGGATGATGGAATCGTCCAAGCAATCGGCAGTGGGGACATTGTCATGTCGATGAAGACACCCCAAGGGATGAAGAAAGGTGTGCTCACAAACGTGTGGCACATCCCAAAGTTATCCAGAAACCTGTTCTCGGTCGGCCGCTTCACCAAGGATGTCGGCCCAGTGACGTTCACGAAGGATGGGTGCTATGGAGAAGCGAAAGGGACCAAGTGGAAAATTGGTGCCCGTGAAGGTAAAGGACTGTTCAAGCTGCAAATGACTCCAGTGGCGCCGGAACAAGCAAATGCAGCCAAGTCGTCGGGATGTCAAGGGGGCACCAAGTCGTACCTCTGGCACCTTCGGCTTGGCTCACATAGGTCACGATGGACTCAATTGCATCGTGACGAAGGACATTGGAATTGGCATCGACATATCTTCGGTGAAGAAGTGGGACGTGTGTGAAGGTTGTGCTCTGGGAAAACAGACTCGAGTGCGCTTCCAATCAAACACTACAGCTCGCACCTCCAAACTCCTCGAAGTGATTCACAGCGACGTATGCGGACCGATGTCGATGGCAACTTTCAGTGGAAAACGGTACTTCGTGACATTCATCGATGACAAGTCAAGATACTGTGTCGTCTATCTGCTCAAGAGCAAATCTGAAGTTGCGGCGAAGTTCATGGAATACGCTGCGATGGCCGAAACGCAAACCGGAAAGCGCGTGAAGTACCTTCAAAGCGACAATGGGGGTGAATACAAGTCCGACAAGCTGGCACGATTCTGCGCGGAACGGGGAATACAACAAAGGTTCACACCCCCATATACTCCTCAGCTAAACGGAGTAGCTGAGAGAATGAATCGCACGCTGGTCGAGTGTGCGCGTTGCATGATGGAACACGCTGGACTGGGAAAGAGCTACTGGGGTGAAGCAGTGATGACGGCGATGTTTCTTCGAAACCGCTGTCCAACACGTGCCATTCACCAAGACAAGTCTCCATATCAAGTGTGGACGATGAAGAAACCGATTCTGGCCAACCTTAAAGTGTTTGGATGCCACGCGTATGTTCAAGTGCCTCAAGACAAACGCGCGAAGTTCGACTCCAAGTCATCACTCTGTCGTTTCCTGGGATACGCCGAACACCAGAAGTCATATCGATTTGAGGAAGTGTCAACAGGAGCGATCAAGATCAGTCGCGATGCCACATTCATGGAAGACAAGTTTGATGAAGGTCCGCGCAACTACAACGATGAGTCAAGTGTCGTTGAGTTTGATGATCATGATGAGGACGAAGAAAAAGAAGAAGGTAAAACTGACGACGACATGGACTCGAGCGACGATGACAACGAAGACACCAGGTCTTCGAAGAGCAACATCAAGAGACACACGCGCACTCAATCACTTGAGAAAGCTACCGTCATTCCAAGTCCCAAGCGAAGAACGTACAGAGGTCCGTCGCTTGAGCATGTGTCAGCGGCTGCAATGGATTTTGAAGCAGCCTACATCGTTGATTCAGTGGGGGAAACGCCGACTACATTCAAGTCGGCGATGGAATCAAGCGACTCCGGCAAGTGGAAAGAAGCGTGTGACTCGGAGTTCGACTCGCTTCAGAGAAACGACACGTGGGAAATCGTGCCTCTTCCGAAAGGTCGCAAGGCCATCGGGTGCCGATGGGTTTTTCGTGTAAAGGAGAATCAAGATGGCGAAGTTGAACGTTTCAAGGCAAGACTTGTGGCCAAAGGATTCTCACAGAAATTCGGAGTTGACTATGAAGAAACTTTCGCACCGGTGGCCAAGTTCACATCGATTCGTGTGGTGCTCAGTATGGCGGCCAAGTACGGCCTAATGCTACATCAGATGGACGTCAAGACAGCGTTTCTTAACGGCTCCCTCAACGAAGACATCTACATGGACCAGCCGGACGGATACCTGGATGCAACACAGCCGGACTATGTGTGCAAGCTAAAGAGATCACTCTACGGCTTGAAGCAATCGCCTCGCATGTGGAACCAAACAATCGATGGGTTCATGATCAAGATGGGATTCAAGAAGTGCGAATCGGACCACTGCATCTACATCAAGCGAGACGACCAAGACATGATTCTCGTGGTGCTCTACGTCGATGATCTCATCCTGGCCAGCAGCAACAACGAACTCCTCAAGTCAACCAAGATGGCACTGAGCAAACGCTTCGAAATGACGGATCTCGGTGAGCTCGATTACTTTCTCGGCATGGAGATCAAGAACGACCGTAAGACGGGAATGGTGACTGTGCAACAAACCAAGTTTCTCAAGTCCGTGTTGACCAAGTTCGGAATGGATAACAGCAAGCCAGTGAAGACGCCTCAAGATCCCGGCCTGAAGCTAACCAAGAACATGTGTGAACAAGAATGCAAGCACGAAGACACCATGTGCAACGTGCCATATCGAAGTGCTGTCGGAGGCATCATGTATCTCATGGTCGCCACACGTCCGGATCTAGCTGCTGCAGTAGGATCATTATCCCAGTTCTCGTCCGACCCATGCCCGACTCACTGGCAAGCTTTGAAGAGTGTGCTGAGATACCTGCAAGCAACGCCCAATCATGGTCTTGAGTTTACACGTGAAGAAGGAAGCCGTATCTGCGGGTACACCGACGCAGACTGGGCCGGCGACATTGAGTCAAGACGAAGTACAAGCGGCTATGTGTTCATGATGAACGGAGGATGCATCAGCTGGAAAAGCCAGAAACAACGGACGGTCGCGCTATCTTCAACAGAAGCAGAATACATGGCGCTTTCCGAAGCAACCAAAGAAGCAGTATGGCTCAAGGTGCTTTTGGGGGAACTTGGTGAGATGACAAGCGACGAAGCGATCAAGGTGTATGAAGACAACCAAGGATCAATCGCTCTCGCCAAGAACCCGGAGTTCCATAAGAGAACAAAACACATCGACATACGCTACCATTTTGTGCGTGAGAAGGTGGAATCAGGTGAAGTCGTTTTGGAGAATTGCCCGACTCAAGATATGCTGGCAGACATGATGACCAAGCCGATCGCCGCTGTACAATTTGAAAACATTCGCGATCGACTTGGGATCCAAGGTACCGCAGCTAACGAGTCGAGAGGGAGTGTTGAAAAGACAGCGGCTGTGAAGAAGACACCTCGTCAAGCTGCGTCAAGTGTTGAAGCAAGTGGAAGACCAAGCTTCGCTATACCGGTGGGTACCGGTATGTACCAGTAAGGGCGAAGTCAGGAAATGACGTCATTGGATGACGTCAGTGGGTGACTTCAGTGGGTGACGTCACTGGATGACGTCACTGCGAATAATAGGCTTAGAGGTAGTATTCAAAGTTGCGAACTAAGTACCTATTACAAATATATATTCACTTTGCGTTTTGCACTCGGACCAAGAAGTCTAAAGTTCATCAGGTCCAACTGAGTCTCGCACTGTTCCGCCTTGATCTCACCGCTGACGACCTCCCATAGGTCCCGTTCCTCCAGCACCATCTGCATCTTGAACTTCCAGGCGTGGAAGTTAGTTCCATCGAACTTGGAGATGCGGAGGGAGGAGGCGTCCATGGCAGCTAAGCTTGAATTGTTGGCGGTTTCAGAGTCTGACGAACTTGGGCTCATAACCTGATGAACTTTAGACTTCTTGGTCCGAGTGCAAAACGCAAAGTGAATATATATTTATAATAGGTACTTAGTTCGCAACTTTGAATACTACCTCTAAGCCTATTATTCGCAGTGACGTCATCCAGTGACGTCACCCACTGACGTCACCCACTGACGTCATGCAATGACGTCATCCAGTGACGTCATTTCCTGACTTCGCCCTTACTGGTACATACCGGTACCCACCGGTATAGCGAAGCTTGGTCTTCCACTTGCTTCAACACTTGACGCAGCTTGACGAGGTGTCTTCTTCACAGCCGCTGTCTTTTCAACACATCTGATGTAGCATTAGGCCGTACTTAGCCGCCATACTGAGCACCACACGAATCGATGTGAACTTGGCCACCGGTGCGAAAGTTTCTTCATAGTCAACTCCGAATTTCTGTGAGAATCCTTTGGCCACAAGTCTTGCCTTGAAACGTTCAACTTCGCCATCTTGATTCTCCTTTACACGAAAAACCCATCGGCACCCGATGGCCTTGCTACCTTTCGGAAGAGGCATGATTTCCCACGTGTTGTTTCTCTGAAGCGAATCGAACTCCGAGTCACACGCTTCTTTCCACTTGCCGGAGTCGCTTGATTCCATCGCCGACTTGAATGTAGTCGGCGTTTCCCCCACTGAATCAACGATGTAGGCTGCTTCAAAATCCATTGCAGCCGCTGACACATGCTCAAGCGACGGACCTCTGTATGTTCTTCGCTTGGGACTTGGAATGACGGTAGCTTTCTCAAGTGATTGAGTGCGCGTGTGTCTCTTGATGTTGCTCTTTGAAGACCTGGTGTCTTCGTTGTCATCGTCGCTCGAGTCCATGTCGTCGTCAGTTTTACCTTCTTCTTTTTCTTCGTCCTCATCATGATCATCAAACTCAACGACACTTGACTCATCGTTGTAGTTGCGCGGACCTTCATCAAACTTGTCTTCCATGAATGTGGCATCGCGACTGATCTTGATCGCTCCTGTTGACACTTCCTCAAATCGATATGACTTCTGGTGTTCGGCGTATCCCAGGAAACGACAGAGTGATGACTTGGAGTCGAACTTCGCGCGTTTGTCTTGAGGCACTTGAACATACGCGTGGCATCCAAACACTTTAAGGTTGGCCAGAATCGGTTTCTTCATCGTCCACACTTGATATGGAGACTTGTCTTGGTGAATGGTGATGAACTTTAGACTTCTTGGTCCGAGTGCAAAACGCAAAGTGAATATATATTTATAATAGGTACTTAGTTCGCAACTTTGAATACTACCTCTAAGCCTATTATTCGCAGTGACGTCATCCAGTGACGTCACCCACTGACGTCATGCAATGACGTCATCCAGTGACGTCATTTCCTGACTTCGCCCTTACTGGTACATACCGGTACCCACCGGTATAGCGAAGCTTGGTCTTCCACTTGCTTCAACACTTGACGCAGCTTGACGAGGTGTCTTCTTCACAGCCGCTGTCTTTTCAACACTCCCTCTCGACTCGTTAGCTGCGGCACCTTGGATCCCAAGTCGATCGCGAATGTTTTCAAATTGTACAGCGGCGATCGGCTTGGTCATCATGTCTGCCAGCATATCTTGAGTCGGGCAATACTCCAAAACGACTTCACCTGATTCCACCTTCTCACGCACAAAATGGTAGCGTATGTCGATGTGTTTTGTTCTCTTATGGAACTCCGGGTTCTTGGCGAGAGCGATTGATCCTTGGTTGTCTTCATACATCTTGATCGCTTCGTCGCTTGTCATCTCACCAAGTTCCCCCAAAAGCACTTTGAGCCATACTGCTTCTTTGGTTGCTTCGGAAAGCGCCATGTATTCTGCTTCTGTTGAAGATAGCGCGACCGTCCGTTGTTTCTGGCTTTTCCAGCTGATGCATCCTCCGCTCATCATGAACACATAGCCGCTTGTACTTCGTCTTGACTCAATGTCGCCGGCCCAGTCTGCGTCGGTGTACCCGCAGATACGGCTTCCTTCTTCACGTGTAAACTCAAGACCATGATTGGGCGTTGCTTGCAGGTATCTCAGCACACGCTTCAAAGCTTGCCAGTGAGTCGGGCATGGGTCGGACGAGAACTGGGATAATGATCCCACTGCAGCAGCTAGATCCGGACGTGTGGCGACCATGAGATACATGATGCCTCCGACAGCACTTCGATATGGCACGTTGCACATGGTGTCTTCGTGCTTGCATTCTTGTTCACACATGTTCTTGGTTAGCTTCAGGCCGGGATCTTGAGGCGTCTTCACTGGCTTGCTGTTATCCATTCCGAACTTGGTTAACACGGACTTGAGAAACTTGGTTTGTTGTACAGTCACCATTCCCGTCTTACGGTCGTTCTTGATCTCCATGCCGAGAAAGTAATCGAGCTCACCGAGATCCGTCATTTCGAAGCGTTTGCTCAGCGCCATCTTGGTTGACTTGAGGAGTTCGTTGTTGCTGCTGGCCAGGATGAGATCATCGACGTAGAGCACCACGAGAATCATGTCTTGGTCGTCTCGCTTGATGTAGATGCAGTGGTCCGATTCGCACTTCTTGAATCCCATCTTGATCATGAACCCATCGATTGTTTGGTTCCACATGCGAGGCGATTGCTTCAAGCCGTAGAGTGATCTCTTTAGCTTGCACACATAGTCCGGCTGTGTTGCATCCAGGTATCCGTCCGGCTGGTCCATGTAGATGTCTTCGTTGAGGGAGCCGTTAAGAAACGCTGTCTTGACGTCCATCTGATGTAGCATTAGGCCGTACTTGGCCGCCATACTGAGCACCACACGAATCGATGTGAACTTGGCCACCGGTGCGAAAGTTTCTTCATAGTCAACTCCGAATTTCTGTGAGAATCCTTTGGCCACAAGTCTTGCCTTGAAACGTTCAACTTCGCCATCTTGATTCTCCTTTACACGAAAAACCCATCGGCACCCGATGGCCTTGCGACCTTTCGGAAGAGGCACGATTTCCCACGTGTCGTTTCTCTGAAGCGAATCGAACTCCGAGTCACACGCTTCTTTCCACTTGCCGGAGTCGCTTGATTCCATCGCCGACTTGAATGTAGTCGGCGTTTCCCCACTGAATCAACGATGTAGGCTGCTTCAAAATCCATTGCAGCCGCTGACACATGCTCAAGCGACGGACCTCTGTATGTTCTTCGCTTGGGACTTGGAATGACGGTAGCTTTCTCAAGTGATTGAGTGCGCGTGTGTCTCTTGATGTTGCTCTTCGAAGACCTGGTGTCTTCGTTGTCATCGTCGCTCGAGTCCATGTCGTCGTCAGTTTTACCTTCTTCTTTTTCTTCGTCCTCATCATGATCATCAAAACTCAACGACACTTGACTCATCGTTGTAGTTGCGCGGACCTTCATCAAACTTGTCTTCCATGAATGTGGCATCGCGACTGATCTTGATCGCTCCTGTTGACACTTCCTCAAATCGATATGACTTCTGGTGTTCGGCGTATCCCAGGAAACGACAGAGTGATGACTTGGAGTCGAACTTCGCGCGTTTGTCTTGAGGCACTTGAACATACGCGTGGCATCCAAACACTTTAAGGTTGGCCAGAATCGGTTTCTTCATCGTCCACACTTGATATGGAGACTTGTCTTGGTGAATGGCACGTGTTGGACAGCGGTTTCGAAGAAACATCGCCGTCATCACTGCTTCACCCCAGTAGCTCTTTCCCAGTCCAGCGTGTTCCATCATGCAACGCGCACACTCGACCAGCGTGCGATTCATTCTCTCAGCTACTCCGTTTAGCTGAGGAGTATATGGGGGTGTGAACCTTTGTTGTATTCCCCGTTCCGCGCAGAATCGTGCCAGCTTGTCGGACTTGTATTCACCCCCATTGTCGCTTTGAAGGTACTTCACGCGCTTTCCGGTTTGCGTTTCGGCCATCGCAGCGTATTCCATGAACTTCGCCGCAACTTCAGATTTGCTCTTGAGCAGATAGACGACACAGTATCTTGACTTGTCATCAATGAATGTCACGAAGTACCGTTTTCCACTGAAAGTTGCCATCGACATCGGTCCGCATACGTCGCTGTGAATCACTTCGAGGAGTTTGGAGGTGCGAGCTGTAGTGTTTGATTGGAAGCGCACTCGAGTCTGTTTTCCCAGAGCACAACCTTCACACACGTCCCACTTCTTCACCGAAGATATGTCGATGCCAATTCCAATGTTCTTCGTCACGATGCAATTGAGTCCATCGTGACCTATGTGGCCAAGCCGAAGGTGCCAGAGGTACGACTTGGTGCCCCCTTGACATCCCGACGACTTGGCTGCATTTGCTTGTTCCGGCGCCACTGGAGTCATTTGCAGCTTGAACAGTCCTTTACCTTCACGGGCACCAATTTTCCACTTGGTCCCTTTCGCTTCTCCATAGCACCCATCCTTCGTGAACGTCACTGGGCCGACATCCTTGGTGAAGCGGCCGACCGAGAACAGGTTTCTGGATAACTTTGGGATGTGCCACACGTTTGTGAGCACACCTTTCTTCATCCCTTGGGGTGTCTTCATCGACATGACAATGTCCCCACTGCCGATTGCTTGGACGATTCCATCATCCGCGAGATGGACATCCACAGCGTCAAACCCCTTGTAGTTCCGCATGAACTTCTTGGAGCACGTCATGTGCTGCGTCGCCCCGGAGTCGACCAGCCAGATGTCGCTCGATTTCGCAGATGTCGTTTCACCGATCGAAAAGAGGTAGTCGCCCGAGTCTTCTTCTTGAGCGACGTTTGCACGTTGTGATCGATAGCGGTCGCCGCTGTCTTGAGCACGCTGTGGCCGGTGTCTCTCCGTGTTTTCTTGGATGCGCGAGGGGCACTCCGCCATCCAGTGACCAATCTTTCCGCAATTGTGGCACGGCCAGGACTTCTTCACTGGTCGCCCTTTGCGCTGATTGTCCCTTGTGATGAACGCTTGACCTTGCGAAGCTTCATCACCTTTACTTCCTTGCTCCTTCCGCTTCATTTCTTCATGAAGCAGTCGAGACGTCACGAGCTCCCAGCTAAGAGTGTCTGAGCGCGACTCCAAAGCTGTGATCAAGAATTGATACGAGTCACTCAGGCTGCCGAGGAGTGTGATCACCAGATCGTCCTCGCAGACTGGAGCCCCCACCGCTTCTAGCTGTTCCGCCAGCGTCTTGAGCTTGTTGATGTGTTCGAGCACATCGTCGCCTTCTTCCATCATTGTCGTGAAGAAGCGACGGCGCAAGAACAGCTTGTTGGCAAGACTCTTCTTCTCGAAGTGGTCTTCCAACCTTGACCATGCGTCGCATGCACCACTTGCCGACCGGACCAACGGTAGCTGGGAATCTTCCATGGCTAGACAGATCACTGCCATCGCCTTTCTTGACTTCCTCTTGTACGTCGCTTGGTCCAACTGAGTCTCGCACTGTTCCGCCTTGATCTCACCGCTGACGACCTCCCATAGGTCCCGTTCCTCCAGCACCATCTGCATCTTGAACTTCCAGGCGTGGAAGTTAGTTCCATCGAACTTGGAGATGCGGAGGGAGGAGGCGTCCATGGCAGCTAAGCTTGAATTGTTGGCGGTTTCAGAGTCTGACGAACTTGGGCTCATAACCTGATGAACTTTAGACTTCTTGGTCCGAGTGCAAAACGCAAAGTGAATATATATTTATAATAGGTACTTAGTTCGCAACTTTGAATACTACCTCTAAGCCTATTATTCGCAGTGACGTCATCCAGTGACGTCACCCACTGACGTCATGCAATGACGTCATCCAGTGACGTCATTTCCTGACTTCGCCCTTACTGGTACATACCGGTACCCACCGGTATAGCGAAGCTTGGTCTTCCACTTGCTTCAACACTTGACGCAGCTTGACGAGGTGTCTTCTTCACAGCCGCTGTCTTTTCAACAAATGGCACGTGTTGGACAGCGGTTTCGAAGAAACATCGCCGTCATCACTGCTTCACCCCAGTAGCTCTTTCCCAGTCCAGCGTGTTCCATCATGCAACGCGCACACTCGACCAGCGTGCGATTCATTCTCTCAGCTACTCCGTTTAGCTGAGGAGTATATGGGGGTGTGAACCTTTGTTGTATTCCCCGTTCCGCGCAGAATCGTGCCAGCTTGTCGGACTTGTATTCACCCCCATTGTCGCTTTGAAGGTACTTCACGCGCTTTCCGGTTTGCGTTTCGGCCATCGCAGCGTATTCCATGAACTTCGCCGCAACTTCAGATTTGCTCTTGAGCAGATAGACGACACAGTATCTTGACTTGTCATCAATGAATGTCACGAAGTACCGTTTTCCACTGAAAGTTGCCATCGACATCGGTCCGCATACGTCGCTGTGAATCACTTCGAGGAGTTTGGAGGTGCGAGCTGTAGTGTTTGATTGGAAGCGCACTCGAGTCTGTTTTCCCAGAGCACAACCTTCACACACGTCCCACTTCTTCACCGAAGATATGTCGATGCCAATTCCAATGTTCTTCGTCACGATGCAATTGAGTCCATCGTGACCTATGTGGCCAAGCCGAAGGTGCCAGAGGTACGACTTGGTGCCCCCTTGACATCCCGACGACTTGGCTGCATTTGCTTGTTCCGGCGCCACTGGAGTCATTTGCAGCTTGAACAGTCCTTTACCTTCACGGGCACCAATTTTCCACTTGGTCCCTTTCGCTTCTCCATAGCACCCATCCTTCGTGAACGTCACTGGGCCGACATCCTTGGTGAAGCGGCCGACCGAGAACAGGTTTCTGGATAACTTTGGGATGTGCCACACGTTTGTGAGCACACCTTTCTTCATCCCTTGGGGTGTCTTCATCGACATGACAATGTCCCCACTGCCGATTGCTTGGACGATTCCATCATCCGCGAGATGGACATCCACAGCGTCAAACCCCTTGTAGTTCCGCATGAACTTCTTGGAGCACGTCATGTGCTGCGTCGCCCCGGAGTCGACCAGCCAGATGTCCCTCGATTTCGCAGATGTCGTTTCACCGATCGAAAAGAGGTAGTCGCCCGAGTCTTCTTCTTGAGCGACGTTTGCACGTTGTGATCGATAACGGTCGCCACTGTCTTGAGCGCGCTGTGGCCGGTGTCCCTCCGTGTTTTCTTGGATGCGCGAGGGGCACTCTGTTGAAAAGACAGCGGCTGTGAAGAAGACACCTCGTCAAGCTGCGTCAAGTGTTGAAGCAAGTGGAAGACCAAGCTTCGCTATACCGGTGGGTACCGGTATGTACCAGTAAGGGCGAAGTCAGGAAATGACGTCACTGGATGACGTCATTGCATGACGTCAGTGGGTGACGTCAGTGGGTGACGTCACTGGATGACGTCACTGCGAATAATAGGCTTAGAGGTAGTATTCAAAGTTGCGAACTAAGTACCTATTATAAATATATATTCACTTTGCGTTTTGCACTCGGACCAAGAAGTCTAAAGTTCATCAGGTTATGAGCCCAAGTTCGTCAGACTCTGAAACCGCCAACAATTCAAGCTTAGCTGCCATGGACGCCTCCTCCCTCCGCATCTCCAAGTTCGATGGAACTAACTTCCACGCCTGGAAGTTCAAGATGCAGATGGTGCTGGAGGAACGGGACCTATGGGAGGTCGTCAGCGGTGAGATCAAGGCGGAACAGTGCGAGACTCAGTTGGACCAAGCGACGTACAAGAGGAAGTCAAGAAAGGCGATGGCAGTGATCTGTCTAGCCATGGAAGATTCCCAGCTACCGTTGGTCCGGTCGGCAAGTGGTGCATGCGACGCATGGTCAAGGTTGGAAGACCACTTCGAGAAGAAGAGTCTTGCCAACAAGCTGTTCTTGCGCCGTCGCTTCTTCACGACAATGATGGAAGAAGGCGACGATGTGCTCGAACACATCAACAAGCTCAAGACGCTGGCGGAACAGCTAGAAGCGGTGGGGGCTCCAGTCTGCGAGGACGATCTGGTGATCACACTCCTCGGCAGCCTGAGTGACTCGTATCAATTCTTGATCACAGCTTTGGAGTCGCGCTCAGACACTCTTAGCTGGGAGCTCGTGACGTCTCGACTGCTTCATGAAGAAATGAAGCGGAAGGAGCAAGGGAAGTAAAGGTGATGAAGCTTCGCAAGGTCAAGCGTTCATCACAAGGGACAATCAGCGCAAAGGGCGACCAGTGAAGAAGTCCTGGCCGTGCCACAATTGCGGAAAGATTGGTCACTGGATGGCGGAGTGCCCCTCGCGCATCCAAGAAAACACGGAGAGACACCGGCCACAGCGTGCTCAAGACAGCGGCGACCGCTATCGATCACAACGTGCAAACGTCGCTCAAGAAGAAGACTCGGGCGACTACCTCTTTTCGATCGGTGAAACGACATCTGCGAAATCGAGCGACATCTGGCTGGTCGACTCCGGGGCGACGCAGCACATGACGTGCTCCAAGAAGTTCATGCGGAACTACAAGGGGTTTGACGCTGTGGATGTCCATCTCGCGGATGATGGAATCGTCCAAGCAATCGGCAGTGGGGACATTGTCATGTCGATGAAGACACCCCAAGGGATGAAGAAAGGTGTGCTCACAAACGTGTGGCACATCCCAAAGTTATCCAGAAACCTGTTCTCGGTCGGCCGCTTCACCAAGGATGTCGGCCCAGTGACGTTCACGAAGGATGGGTGCTATGGAGAAGCGAAAGGGACCAAGTGGAAAATTGGTGCCCGTGAAGGTAAAGGACTGTTCAGGCTGCAAATGACTCCAGTGGCGCCGGAACAAGCAAATGCAGCCAAGTCGTCGGGATGTCAAGGGGGCACCAAGTCGTACCTCTGGCACCTTCGGCTTGGCCACATAGGTCACGATGGACTCAATTGCATCGTGACGAAGAACATTGGAATTGGCATCGACATATCTTCGGTGAAGAAGTGGGACGTGTGTGAAGGTTGTGCTCTGGGAAAACAGACTCGAGTGCGCTTCCAATCAAACACTACAGCTCGCACCTCCAAACTCCTCGAAGTGATTCACAGCGACGTATGCGGACCGATGTCGATGGCAACTTTCAGTGGAAAACGGTACTTCGTGACATTCATTGATGACAAGTCAAGATACTGTGTCGTCTATCTGCTCAAGAGCAAATCTGAAGTTGCGGCGAAGTTCATGGAATACGCTGCGATGGCCGAAACGCAAACCGGAAAGCGCGTGAAGTACCTTCAAAGCGACAATGGGGGTGAATACAAGTCCGACAAGCTGGCACGATTCTGCGCGGAACGGGGAATACAACAAAGGTTCACCCCCCCCATATACTCCTCAGCTAAACGGAGTAGCTGAGAGAATGAATCGCACGCTGGTCGAGTGTGCGCGTTGCATGATGGAACACGCTGGACTGGGAAAGAGCTACTGGGGTGAAGCAGTGATGACGGCGATGTTTCTTCGAAACCGCTGTCCAACACGTGCCATTCACCAAGACAAGTCTCCATATCAAGTGTGGACGATGAAGAAACCGATTCTGGCCAACCTTAAAGTGTTTGGATGCCACGCGTATGTTCAAGTGCCTCAAGACAAACGCGCGAAGTTCGACTCCAAGTCATCACTCTGTCGTTTCCTGGGATACGCCGAACACCAGAAGTCATATCGATTTGAGGAAGTGTCAACAGGAGCGATCAAGATCAGTCGCGATGCCACATTCATGGAAGACAAGTTTGATGAAGGTCCGCGCAACTACAACGATGAGTCAAGTGTCGTTGAGTTTGATGATCATGATGAGGACGAAGAAAAAGAAGAAGGTAAAACTGACGACGACATGGACTCGAGCGACGATGACAACGAAGACACCAGGTCTTCGAAGAGCAACATCAAGAGACACACGCGCACTCAATCACTTGAGAAAGCTACCGTCATTCCAAGTCCCAAGCGAAGAACATACAGAGGTCCGTCGCTTGAGCATGTGTCAGCGGCTGCAATGGATTTTGAAGCAGCCTACATCGTTGATTCAGTGGGGGAAACGCCGACTACATTCAAGTCGGCGATGGAATCAAGCGACTCCGGCAAGTGGAAAGAAGCGTGTGACTCGGAGTTCGATTCGCTTCAGAGAAACGACACGTGGGAAATCGTGCCTCTTCCGAAAGGTCGCAAGGCCATCGGGTGCCGATGGGTTTTTCGTGTAAAGGAGAATCAAGATGGCGAAGTTGAACGTTTCAAGGCAAGACTTGTGGCCAAAGGATTCTCACAGGAATTTGGAGTTGACTATGAAGAAACTTTCGCACCGGTGGCCAAGTTCACATCGATTCGTGTGGTGCTCAGTATGGCGGCTAAGTACGGCCTAATGCTACATCAGATGGACGTCAAGACAGCGTTTCTTAACGGCTCCCTCAACGAAGACATCTACATGGACCAGCCGGACGGATACCTGGATACAACACAGCCGGACTATGTGTGCAAGCTAAAGAGATCACTCTACGGCTTGAAGCAATCGCCTCGCATGTGGAACCAAACAATCGATGGGTTCATGATCAAGATGGGATTCAAGAAGTGCGAATCGGACCACTGCATCTACATCAAGCGAGACGACCAAGACATGATTCTCGTGGTGCTCTACGTCGATGATCTCATCCTGGCCAGCAGCAACAACGAACTCCTCAAGTCAACCAAGATGGCGCTGAGCAAACGCTTCGAAATGACGGATCTCGGTGAGCTCGATTACTTTCTCGGCATGGAGATCAAGAACGACCGTAAGACGGGAATGGTGACTGTACAACAAACCAAGTTTCTCAAGTCCGTGTTAACCAAGTTCGGAATGGATAACAGCAAGCCAGTGAAGACGCCTCAAGATCCCGGCCTGAAGCTAACCAAGAACATGTGTGAACAAGAATGCAAGCACGAAGACACCATGTGCAACGTGCCATATCGAAGTGCTGTCGGAGGCATCATGTATCTCATGGTCGCCACACGTCCGGATCTAGCTGCTGCAGTGGGATCATTATCCCAGTTCTCGTCCGACCCATGCCCGACTCACTGGCAAGCTTTGAAGCGTGTGCTGAGATACCTGCAAGCAACGCCCAATCATGGTCTTGAGTTTACACGTGAAGAAGGAAGCCGTATCTGCGGGTACACCGACGCAGACTGGGCCGGCGACATTGAGTCAAGACGAAGTACAAGCGGCTATGTGTTCATGATGAGCGGAGGATGCATCAGCTGGAAAAGCCAGAAACAACGGACGGTCGCGCTATCTTCAACAGAAGCAGAATACATGGCGCTTTCCGAAGCAACCAAAGAAGCAGTATGGCTCAAAGTGCTTTTGGGGGAACTTGGTGAGATGACAAGCGACGAAGCGATCAAGATGTATGAAGACAACCAAGGATCAATCGCTCTCGCCAAGAACCCGGAGTTCCATAAGAGAACAAAACACATCGACATACGCTACCATTTTGTGCGTGAGAAGGTGGAATCAGGTGAAGTCGTTTTGGAGTATTGCCCGACTCAAGATATGCTGGCAGACATGATGACCAAGCCGATCGCCGCTGTACAATTTGAAAACATTCGCGATCGACTTTGGATCCAAGGTGCCGCAGCTAACGAGTCGAGAGGGAGTGTTGAAAAGACAGCGGCTGTGAAGAAGACACCTCGTCAAGCTGCGTCAAGTGTTGAAGCAAGTGGAAGACCAAGCTTCGCTATACCGGTGGGTACCGGTATGTACCAGTAAGGGCGAAGTCAGGAAATGACGTCACTGGATGACGTCATTGCATGACGTCAGTGGGTGACGTCAGTGGGTGACGTCACTGGATGACGTCACTGCGAATAATAGGCTTAGAGGTAGTATTCAAAGTTGCGAACTAAGTACCTATTATAAATATATATTCACTTTGCGTTTTGCACTCGGACCAAGAAGTCTAAAGTTCATCACACTCCGCCATCCAGTGACCAATCTTTCCGCAATTGTGGCACGGCCAGGACTTCTTCACTGGTCGCCCTTTGCGCTGATTGTCCCTTGTGATGAACGCTTGACCTTGCGAAGCTTCATCACCTTTACTTCCTTGCTCCTTCCGCTTCATTTCTTCATGAAGCAGTCGAGACGTCACGAGCTCCCAGCTAAGAGTGTCTGAGCGCGACTCCAAAGCTGTGATCAAGAATTGATACGAGTCACTCAGGCTGCCGAGGAGTGTGATCACCAGATCGTCCTCGCAGACTGGATCCCCCACCGCTTCTAGCTGTTCCGCCAGCGTCTTGAGCTTGTTGATGTGTTCGAGCACATCGTCGCCTTCTTCCATCATTGTCGTGAAGAAGCGACGGCGCAAGAACAGCTTGTTGGCAAGACTCTTCTTCTCGAAGTGGTCTTCCAACCTTGACCATGCGTCGCATGCACCACTTGTCGACCGGACCAACGGTAGCTGGGAATCTTCCATGGCTAGACAGATCACTGCCATCGCCTTTCTTGACTTCCTCTTGTACGTCGCTTGGTCCAACTGAGTCTCGCACTGTTCCGCCTTGATCTCACCGCTGACGACCTCCCATAGGTCCCGTTCCTCCAGCACCATCTGCATCTTGAACTTCCAGGCGTGGAAGTTAGTTCCATCGAACTTGGAGATGCGGAGGGAGGAGGCGTCCATGGCAGCTAAGCTTGAATTGTTGGCGGTTTCAGAGTCTGACGAACTTGGGCTCATAACCTGATGAACTTTAGACTTCTTGGTCCGAGTGCAAAACGCAAAGTGAATATATATTTATAATAGGTACTTAGTTCGCAACTTTGAATACTACCTCTAAGCCTATTATTCGCAGTGACGTCACCCACTGACGTCACCCACTGACGTCACCCACTGACGTCATTTCCTGACTTCGCCCTTACTGGTACATACCGGTACCCACCGGTATAGCGAAGCTTGGTCTTCCACTTGCTTCAACACTTGACGCAGCTTGACGAGGTGTCTTCTTCACAGCCGCTGTCTTTTCAACAGTACGCAGATCTGCTTGAATTTGCCACTACGCAGATCACGCAAGAACCTTTATGTTCGAGCGTTGGCAACTGAGTGATCTCCGAAGTCAACTTCGGAGGCGCAATCAGATCAAGTGTATAAGCGCCTACACTTGATCCGTTATTGACTATACATTCAATGTCTCTGTCATTTCCTGGGGACTCATTCCCTCAGGCCTCGAAGGACTTATTCCTTCGGCTTCCCGGGGACTTATTCCCGCGGGTTTCGGGGAGCTTATTTCCGCCGTATCTGTAATATCGGGACTTATTCCCTTTACTTCCTCTAGCTGGGGTTGCGCAACCACAGCGAGATCCTCTACGAAAGACTCTCCAGTCGATCTAGGATTATCGTTTCGCTTAACCTGAGCGATCAATTGTTTCTCTTCTAGATGTTCCCCGCTAGGGATACATCGTTTTCCCGGTCCACTCGACTTATTCGAGTGGTGGACCTTCGGCGCAGCCCGTGTTTCCTCACATCCGCCGGAACTTTGCTCCGAGGTGTAACCGTTTGTTACACTAAGGTTTCGTGCAGTCGTACTAACGACCGTACCACAAGTGAGGCCATCGCACTCACTCGTAGTACATCCACACGCTTGTTGACGCTCCAAAACGTTCATCAGATGGCCATCTGATGAACAAGCGGCAGGAATCGTTACTGTTCGATGTTGCCAGTTTACCCGTGGTTCGTACCTTCTGAGCCACGGTATTCCAAGGATGACATCAAATTTGTCATCCAAATCTAATACGATAAAGTCATCGGTATATTGGGTATCTTCTAGCGTATAGTGAATCTTCACTATACGCTTTATAACGGTTACGGATGCGCCTGTCGCAAGACGTACCGTCATCCTCGTAGGAGGTGTGTCACATTCACTGAACTTGAAGTGACCATCTTCTAGCGATTGGCGTCGCACAAAATTGTTGGACGCCCCACAATCGACTAGAGCTCGAAGGGACAACTTATTCGTCACTTCGAGTTTCAAGGTAATGAGTGAGATCTCATTACCTAGAGCAGCAACGCACAACGTTCGTGTGTTGGGAGCAACCTTCATCAAGAGGCCTACAAATTCTTATGACGTTGCTGGACCAGTAGGGTGCTCCGCACCTACTGATCCTGACCGTTTTTTGACGGTCCATCCCGTTGTTGCGTCTTTGCACCAACAGCGGACCCGCGTCCCTGCCCCTTTCTCATGGGTGGACGGTCACTACGCCCAGTGTTGCGAGACACTGAACGAGGGGCACTACACTCGTAAGCGTAGTGTCCTGTCTCCTGACATCTGTTGCATTTATGTGTGGCAAAGTCACTACTCAAATTTTGTACGAGGATCGGTGGCCACACCTTTAAAGCGCCGCTTACTGGTGGAAAAGGAGGCCATGAGACTCGTCGATCCAATACGGAGGTGGAAGATGATCTTAACGGGATCGGCGAACCGATCCAACTGTCGTTAGACTAATGGGTATGGATCGACCTGGGACGGAGCGATCTGGAACGATTTACATGGAGCAATCTGGGACAAGGATCTGGGACCGGGTGATGGGATATGACTCTGCGACGAAGGTGTAACATCTTGCAGAATGTTATGGGGCGATCTGGAACCAGACATCGGGATGAAGTCATACAGCTCATTGGAATGCCGGTCAAGAAGAAGTATACGTACATTGAAGCAGGCTAAGATCAGATCGCAGATCGACATGTTGTGGCAACGGTTTGTTGGAGAATTGACACATCTGGGACAAGGTGACTCCCCAAAGTGCATCTGGGACCAGGTGGTACGGTTCGGTGAATCGGCAAAGAAGGTGCAACACCATACGGATCGGTGATACTCTTTACCGATCCTAAATTGGGAGTACTGATTTTGGTTAATTATACACCGATCTGGAAGTTTTGCATACTCAGGGGAGTCAAGGAAACCGATGTCGAGACGTATGAATGAAGTTGTCGATTGGATAACACTGGAGGATGATATTGAAGCACGTATGAGGAGATGAAAAAGTGTTAATTGCCGATTTAGACCGGATCGACCTCCAACATCTCGATATTGGATGACAGATCGGTCATGTTCCACACTGATCATGAATATATGGTTGATGAAGATGCTGGATCATGAATATATGGTTGATGAAGATGCTGGATCATGTGGAATATACTTGATAGAGGTCACTAAGTGATGTCAAGAAGTTTCATGCCGAAAGAGCCAGTGGAAGCTGTCCGAATTGACGTCGCAAAGTGAATTTGGACACATTCGGCATTTTGGGTCATATGTTGGGTACTTAGGTGCCAAGAATGGATATTTGGTACCATATAGGAGATTTTGGTCCATTTGGTGCTCTAGGTACGATATCGGGGATATTGGCGCTATCATTGGAGTACAGGGCACGAAATTTCGACACGTGGCAAGGGGGCGATCCAGATTCAAGGCGATATCGGTTTGAAGAGTGACCTATAGTTAAGAATAGGCTTAAGGGTAGGTTGGATAGTAATTTGGTTGGTTAATAAACAGACTTGAACTCTATTGAGGGTTACCGGTACAATCCGAACCTAGCGCGTAGTTCTTACGAGATAGTTTTTTACATCGGTAATTACCTCAGAGATGATTAGACGCGTAGGATGATTGGACGCGTGTAAATCAGGTTGATTAGATGCACCATGTGATTGGATGCAGTCTAGGGTAGGCAGAAGTTAAGACCTATAAATCAATCACTTTCGAATCCTCCCTCAAGTGAGCAAGTGTTCTCTGCTTCGTTCTCTCCGGTCTCTCCGCTTCGTTTTCTCTTCGCCTCGCGCTCAAGTTACAACAGGTTATGAGCCCAAGCGCCATGTCGTCCAACAACACCTCGGCCAGTGTCTCCATCGATAAGTTCGATGGGGACAACTACTCAACCTGGTGTCGCTACATGCGCGGCGTGTTTCTGACGAAGTCAGTCTGGTACGTCGTGAACCGCGAAACGTCTCCAACCTTCACCGACACGCGAGCTTCCGACGAGTACGTCAAGGCGAGCAACATCGCGTTCGGGTTGATGTTGCTCCACATGGACGCCGACTACCACCATGTGGTCGACAACTGTGAAGAAGCATGGACAGCGTGGTCGCGGTTGAAGATGCTCTATGGTGGGTCGCAGAAGGCGGGACGCATCTACCTCAAGCGCCAGCTGTTCAGCATCAAGATGGCGGAAGGTGCCAACGTCTTGCACCATTGCAACGAAGTCTTGAACATCGGCGCCAAGCTCAGCAGCATCGGTGCCAAGATGGAAGACGAAGACATTGCGATCTGCTTACTGCGCAGTCTGCCCAATAGTTTCGAGAACGTGGTTCTCAACTTGGAGATGAGCAATGCAGAGCTGCGCACGCAAGATGTGGTCAAGGTGCTGACTAACGAGCACATCAAGCGACAAGGCGAGAAGATGACAACGGCAACGACAACGGTGAAGACTGAAGATGCGACAAAGGCATTCAGTACCGAGCGCAAGCCCTACCAATGCACATACTGCGGCAAGGTGGGGCACACGGCAGAGCGTTGCTGGACGAAGCAAAAGGATGAAAGTCGAGGAGCCCAACGCGGCGGCAATGGTCGTCGACGCGGGGCAAACAATGTCCACTGGCGACATTATGATGAAGGCAACAGCTACGATCGAGTGGCGTTTGCAGTTTCGTTCGAATGCGGAGTTTCGACGAACAAGAATGGACCAGGAATGTGGGCCGTTGACAGCGGGGCAACACATCACATCTGCCACGACAAGTTCAAGTTTGCAAGCTTGGTCGAAGGCAATGATGGCGAGATCCTGGTGGCTGATGGCAACAAGGCGGCCATCAAAGGTGTGGGGACCATCGTGGAAAAGGTGATTCTGCCAAACGGGGAAGAGCGCGAGATCGAGATCAAGAACGCGCTCTATGTGCCCAGCATGAGCAAAAATCTGCTCTCGGTGCCGCAGATTAACAAGCACGGCAACTTCCAAGTGGTGTTTGACGGGGATACGATGTACGTCGCTCGCAAGGATTCCAATCAAGTGGTGGCAGCTGCGGATCTTGTAGACGGACTCTACTGGCTTCGCACGACGCAGCGATCGGCCAATGCGACATCACTCAGCAACGCTGTTGATCTACATGCGCGAATGGGCCATGCTCCAGTCGACGTGCTTCGCAGGATGGTGACAAGCCACATGATCAAGGACGCTCACATCCCTTCCAAGCCGAATGGATCAAGTGTGTGTCGAGGATGCCAAGAAGGGAAGATGGTCCAAAAACCATTCCCGAGCAACCGTGACAAGCGCACCTACAACACCTTCGAGATGCTCCACTTCGACATCTGCGGACCCATGGAAGAAAAATCTCTGGGTGGCAGCAAGTATCTGCTGCTGATCGTGGATGAAGCCAGCGGATGCATGAAGGGTTTTTGTCTGCATTCCAAGTCAGAAAGCGAAGAGTGCATCAAGAAGTACATCACGATGATACAGACGCAGTTCAACAAGAAGGTCAAATTTGTGCGACACGATGGAGCCCGCGAGTTTGCGACGAACTCGCTTCAAGATTTCTACGAAGTCGAAGGCATCGAGCAACAAACCACGGTGCCATACGCACATCAAGCCAATGGAACTGCTGAACGCGCAATTAGAACTATCGTCACCATCGGTCGTAGCATGCTCCATCATGCCAAGTTGGACAAGTGCTTCTGGGCTGAAGCGGCAATGACGGCCGTCTATGTGAAGAACCGTTTGCCGTCACCCAAGATTCCACACAAGACACCGTTCGAGATTGTCTACAGTTCTAAGCCAAGTGTCAAGCACATGCGCGTTTTTGGGTGCCAAGCATACATCTTGACCCCGAAGGAGAAACGACTCAAGTGGGATCCCAAGGCCCGGGCTGGATTGTTTTTGGGCTACGAAGAAGTGTCCAAGGCGTATCGAGTTTACGACATCGAAGCGGGGCAGGTGATGATAAGTCGCGATGTCAACTTCGATGAGTCGGCCTTTGGAATGTCGATGCTGATTTCCGATGACGATGTTGATGGCCTGGACTTCGAATCGATCGATCTTGATGATGAAGAACCGCGTCCGAGACACTTCAAACAAACAGGAAAGCGAAAGGCCCAACCCAGTCACGACAATGACGACGCAAGCATGCCCCGAGCAGTGCTCCAACGACCCGGATTGGAAGAGTCAAGTGCGCCGGATGATCTCTCTTCACGTCGAGCCAACGAAGATGAAGAAAGGAAGTCGGAGGAACAACATGACACACCGACTTCCTCCGCGTTTTGGCATGCGAGTGCAAACGCCGTCGAAGCAGCGGTCGATTTTTCGGAGCCGTCGACATTTGAAGAAGCAGTGTCTGGCCCGGACCAAGTACACTGGCGCAAGGCAATTGATGCGGAGCTCGATTCGATGAAGCTTCGCGGTGTCTTTCGTGCGGCCAAGTTACCCAACGGACAAAGCGCCATTGGCACAAAGTGGGTCTTCAAGATCAAGCGCAAGGCGGATGGGTCGATCGAGAAATACAAGGCACGACTTGTGGCCAAGGGTTTTCGCCAAAAGTATGGCATCGACTACACGGAGACGTTCTCGCCCGTGGTCAAGTATGTGACGCTGCGAATGGTCATCGCCATTACCAAGCACTTTGGATGGCCCCTCGACCAGCTCGATGTGGTGACTGCGTTCCTGTATGGAGTGATGAAGGAGAAGGTGTTCTGCGCTGTTCCGGAAGGCGTCAAGATGGAAGGTGATTTCGACTGTCTCGAGCTGATCAAGGCGATCTACGGTCTCAAGCAAGCCTCGCGTGTTTGGAACGAGACCTTCGACGAGTGCATACGCTCGATTGGTTTTCAAGCGTCGGGATTCGATCCATGTCTCTACATCATGACTTCGGAAGGCCATTGTGTTTTTGTGCTGGTCTACGTGGACGATGTCTTGGTGACTGGAAGCTCGCTCGAGATGATTGCGCGCACCAAGAACGACCTCAAGACACGCTTCGAGATGACGGACAGCGGCAAGTGTGCCTTTGTTCTTGGGATCGAGTTATTGGACGGTGAAGATGGCAGCGTGACTATGTGTCAGCGCCGTTATGTCGACGATGTCCTCAAGCGCTTTGGAATGGATGAGTGCAAGGCTGTGACAAGTCCGGTGGACGTCAGCTCTCGACTGGTTCCAAGCAACTCTGCAAGCAAGGTGGATGTCCCATTCCGTGAAGCAGTGGGTGCTTTGATGCATCTGACGACTGCAACGCGACCGGACATCGCCTATGCTGTAAGCTTTGTGTCACGGTTCATGGAGAAACCCCAAGAAGAACACTGGGTTGCAGTCAAGCGCATCTTCCGCTACCTACAAGGCACCAAGATGCATGGAATCTGCTACAAGCCAAGTGCGAAGATCGACTTTCGTGGCTATTCAGATGCAGACTGGGCCGGTGACCTTGCTGATCGCAAATCGACGTCCGGCTACGTCTTCATGCTATTGGGTGCTCCGGTGAGTTGGGGCAGCAAGAAACAGCCAAGTGTGTCACTGTCTACAAGTGAAGCGGAGTACATCGCGCTCAGCCTGGCGATCCAAGAAGGCAAGTGGATCAATCGCTTGCTGTGCGAGATCATGGCGGCTGCAAACGAAGAAGGACCCGAGCTCGTCATCCGTGAAGACAACCAGTCGTGCATCAAGATGACGAAGAATCCGGTCAACCACGGCCGCGCTAAACACATCGACATCAAGTACCATCACATCCGTGATGAAGTCAAGCGCGGCGAAGTGAAGCTTGAATACTGCGAGACGACGTTGATGTTGGCGGACATCATGACGAAGGGACTTCACGGACCGCGTCACAAGGACTTGACGGCGGCGCTTGGCATCCGTGCGTGTTCGGATTGAGGGGGCGTATTGAGGGTTACCGGTACAATCCGAACCTAGCGCGTAGTTCTTACGAGATAGTTTTTTACATCGGTAATTACCTCAGAGATGATTAGACGCGTAGGATGATTGGACGCGTGTAAATCAGGTTGATTAGATGCACCATGTGATTGGATGCAGTCTAGGGTAGGCAGAAGTTAAGACCTATAAATCAATCACTTTCGAATCCTCCCTCAAGTGAGCAAGTGTTCTCTGCTTCGTTCTCTCCGGTCTCTCCGCTTCGTTTTCTCTTCGCCTCGCGCTCAAGTTACAACAAACTCTACTTCTTCTGCTCACGACGCACGTTATCCTCCCCTCTTCTCCAGGCAAGATTGATTTGGCTTCCCCGGCGGGTTAAGGCACGCGTGTTACAGGGACACAGAAGACCGATCTTGGATTATTGGCCAAGATCGAGAAGAGCGATCCCGGGATATCTGGCCCGGATCGATCAAGTACTCACACTCAACTCAACTGCTAGGGTAGCAGCACACAACGGAAAAGGAAAATGATTTTGGACACAAGATCGCGAGACGGCTCAAGTGGTCAGAAGATCTGGACAAGGCGTTCAAGACAAGACCGAGCAGGATCGAAGCGATCCCCTGGACAGATCGGCACGTTTCATTTTGGCGAAACAAGACACCGATCTACCCAAATTGCGCACTTCCGGCAAGATCGGCCGATCCCAAGACCAGATCGGACCGATCCCAAGGCAAGATCGACGCAGGACTTTTATTTGCTGAGTGAAGATTTCCGCACAGCAAAGACCCCGATCTCGAAGACAAATCAAGATCGGCGCGATCCAAGATCGGGATCGCAGAACCCCCGTTCGTGGTGTGAAGATTTCCGCACCGGAAGCGAACCCTCAACCCAACCTCTCAGCGAGATCGACATCTCCCAAGGCCGTTACGAAGAGCTCAAGCCAGCCCAACCGACGGGTACACAAGGTGAGCACAAGGTCATACAACAAGGCACGGATCGGAGTACCCCCTCCGTGAGTCGGCAAGTCTGGGCAAGTGGAAGGTCGACACTCATACAAGCAATTTTGTGAGATCGACTTCACCACAATGGTGCGCGTGCCCGGATCTTCTGAGGCCTCTGGATTTCACCGTGAGTCCACTGGCGAAGATGTCAAGATTAAGCAAGAACCTGGGATTGAAGTGTCAGCGACAAAGGGATCGACGCAGACACGCAGAAGCACAAGATCCTCAGATCATCAGAGTTTTGGGAGGGGCTCTGATGAAATGAAAATGAAAGAGGAAGATAGAGAGATCGATCTGGAAGATAAACCTCAATTCCCTCCTAGGGTCCCTTCGGGGGCCACCGCAGATCGCTCTGCAAAGAGCGATCTGCTGGATGAAAATCCAATGGTGAAAACCAAATCGGCGAAAGCCAAACCCTATATCTTAGTCGATAGATCGACCGACCTCAAGCCGAAGAGCACAATCGCGAGATCGACCACATCAGAACGATCCGCGACGAGATCGATGGGATCAGATGTCAAAGATCGCCAGATCGGCCGAACCGTGCAATCGAAGATCGGAGCCAAAGAGGAATACGATGAAACACCAGATAAGATCGCGATGCCAAAGACGGAATATAAACCAATAAAGATCGCGTCCATGGAGAAGGAGACGACGGGTGAAGCGCGGGAGCGTGCAAAATGGCAGTACTATTATGGCCAGTTGAAGACGCTGCTCAAGACGGACCCAGTGTTCAAGATATTAAGGCCCAAGGTGATTGGTCCTCTGGATAAGCCGATCTCGTTCCCACTTCACGGGACCAACAAAGTCGACGAGATCAATTTGATTTTGCAGATGTTAAACGACATGGGTATCTGCCCTGACGCTTTTGATGGAGATGAACTGCTGAGTTGCAGCTTGGAACAGTTGAAGGACGCGGCGAATGAGTTTGTAGAGATCATGATAATACTGGTGGGCAAAGCGAATACTCCTGAAGACAAGATCGGGACGCCCTCGGGCTCGCTCCGTAAACACCCCGCGGGATCGCCCCGCTACGCCTCGGATGACTCCGAGAGCGAGTCAGATGGATCCATCAGCATTCGTCAGATGTCTCTAGGACCATCGGGTGGAAGGTTCTTAAAGGACAAGATCGGACAAGCCAAGATCGACGCCTATAAGGGACAAGCCAAGAGCAACATGCCGCAGAGATCGGCCAGTACCCGCACTGGGCTGGAGGATCAAGAAGAGGGCTATCTAAGTCGGTACTTCAATTCAGCCATGAAGAAGTACGAGGCGGATCAACGTACAGCTCAGCGAATGAATCGACAGCCAAACCGCTACCCAGATCGACGTACTTTGCTCCAACCTTCACACAAAAGCCTTGACATGCCGGATGTGGAGATGGAGTCGGTGGGGTCGGACATTTACCAACATATCCATGAGGCGGCGGAATACGACCCGGATGATCTATGGATGCCCGTACCACGGCGCCCTCATGTAGCCGCGACCGGTGCGACTACCGGAGGGGGAAGCATCACGCAGAGGATCAGAATCTCAGCGATTTCTGAGCTGAAAGAATTCTCAGGAAGGATCGGGAAGAAGACAAAGCACGAAACTGGATCGGCAAAGTGAAATCAGCGTTTATCCGGGACCAAGCACCGGACGAGGAGAGATGTCTGGTCTTCGGTGATCTCATGGTGGGCCCAGCCCGCTACTGGTACCGACAGCTGAGTAGATCGACGAGATTCAATTGGAAAGAATTGATGAACAGTTTTCTTGTGGAGTATGCGGGACACGGGATGTCCGCGAGCAGGCAGTACTACCATGCAAAGAAACGATCGGAGGAAGATCCTTTACAGTACCTGTATCGGCTTAATGTGGTGGGAATGCAGGCGAAGATACCGGTGATGACTGGATTGCCAGCTGCGCGCAAGGAACATGTCAACCATTTCATTGACACCTTGGACGACCCCGATCTGTCCAATCAATTGCTACTGCTGAATATAGAAGACGTGGAGGCCATGCAAAAGACACTGCACGGATATCAACAAGGGAGATCGCGTCAAGGGAAAGTGATGATGGGATCGTCCAAATTCAGGCAGAAGGGAACTCAGGGTCCAGCTCTGTCTAAGCCTGCACGAGCGGTAAGGATGGTCCGTACCGAGGACGTCTGCAGCGAGTCAGGATCGGACACCTGCGGATCGGATTTGGAAGATCGATTGATATCGATCCATGTGGCTGCTACTGCGGATCGCCGTTCATCCCCCAATGACGTTGCAGCAAACGCGAGATCGGTCGACCCGAACACTCGTCAAGACTATCAAGATCGCAATATGCCATTGAAGCCGTGTACTCATTGCAGATCGACCAAGCATGGAGATCTCGGTTGCTGGAAGCGGCTCACTTGCCAGAAGTGTGGGCGTAAAGGACACCCCTCTGACAATTGTTTTTTCGTGTGTCGTGCTTGCGGTGAGATGCACGACCCGGGGAAGTGTCCCATGGAGGAGTTCTACAACATGATCCGTCAGTGGTACGTCCCAAATAAGCATGCGGGGATGCTACCAGAGAAGGCCGAGAAGATGTTAAACTAGGACGCTCGCCAGGTTTGAATCTGGTACGAGCCGAGCGTTCTGGGCTCTGCATTATTGCATACGTGGAAAAAAAGAAGACAGATCGCGAGAGTAAGCAGGATATTGACGTGGAAACAAATATATATCGTTCGAAGTTAAAACGTGTCGCTTCCGTGTCCCATCTGAAGCGGATCGATGAGTACTCACGATCTGAACCAGCTATGGAGATCGAGCTCGCTTATGGTGAATCTCGCGGATACTGGAAACATTATTCATCCGGGAAGTGGTTCAAACAAGCGAAAGCCGTTGGCAAGATCAACAACGTAAAAGCTACTCTGTTATTTGATTCTGGTGCTGAAGTGTCGATCATTGACACCACCTTTGCTCGTGAGGTCGGTTGCAATATTGACGAAAGTCAACGACAAGAATGTATCGGGATTATGGACACTCCGTACATGACGGTAGGACGTACCAAGATCAAGGTGACCCTCGCGGGATCGCTGGTATACTATTTCAATGTATGGGTAGGCGATCTGGCAGGGCAAGAAGCGATTCTGGGTATGGATTTTATGGTGCCTGCTGGAGTGCGGCTCGATCTAGCGGATGGCGCGCTATGTCTACCAGAAGAAATCCGCATTCATCTCGCAGGACGTCGCCCCGCGTACGGATCGAAGATACAACATATTGTTGAAAAGACAGCGGCTGTGAAGAAGACACCTCGTCAAGCTGCGTCAAGTGTTGAAGCAAGTGGAAGACCAAGCTTCGCTATACCGGTGGGTACCGGTATGTACCAGTAAGGGCGAAGTCAGGAAATGACGTCATTGGATAACGTCAGTGGGTGACGTCACTGGATGACGTCATTGCATGACGTCAGTGGGTGACGTCAGTGGGTGACGTCACTGGATGACGTCACTGCGAATAATAGGCTTAGAGGTAGTATTCAAAGTTGCGAACTAAGTACCTATTATAAATATATATTCACTTTGCGTTTTGCACTCGGACCAAGAAGTCTAAAGTTCATCAGGTTATGAGCCCAAGTTCGTCAGACTCTGAAACCGCCAACAATTCAAGCTTAGCTGCCATGGACGCCTCCTCCCTCCGCATCTCCAAGTTCGATGGAACTAACTTCCACGCCTGGAAGTTCAAGATGCAGATGGTGCTGGAGGAACGGGACCTATGGGAGGTCGTCAGCGGTGAGATCAAGGCGGAACAGTGCGAGACTCAGTTGGACCAAGCGACGTACAAGAGGAAGTCAAGAAAGGCAATGGCAGTGATCTGTCTAGCCATGGAAGATTCCCAGCTACCGTTGGTCCGGTCGGCAAGTGGTGCATGCGACGCATGGTCAAGGTTGGAAGACCACTTCGAGAAGAAGAGTCTTGCCAACAAGCTGTTCTTGCGCCGTCGCTTCTTCACGACAATGATGGAAGAAGGTGACGATGTGCTAGAACACATCAACAAGCTCAAGACGCTGGCGGAACAGCTAGAAGCGGTGGGGGCTCCAGTCTGCGAGGACGATCTGGTGATCACACTCCTCGGCAGCCTGAGTGACTCGTATCAATTCTTGATCACAGCTTTGGAGTCGCGCTCAGACACTCTTAGCTGGGAGCTCGTGACGTCTCGACTGCTTCATGAAGAAATGAAGCGGAAGGAGCAAGGAAGTAAAGGTGATGAAGCTTCGCAAGGTCAAGCGTTCATCACAAGGGGACAATCAGCGCAAAGGGCGACCAGTGAAGAAGTCCTGGCCGTGCCACAATTGCGGAAAGATTGGTCACTGGATGGCGGAGTGTCCCTCGCGCATCCAAGAAAACACGGAGAGACACCGGCCACAGCGTGCTCAAGACAGCGGCGACCGCTATCGATCACAACGTGCAAACGTCGCTCAAGAAGAAGACTCGGGCGACTACCTCTTTTCGATCGGTGAAACGACATCTGCGAAATCGAGCGACATCTGGCTGGTCGACTCCGGGGCGACGCAGCACATGACGTGCTCCAAGAAGTTCATGCGGAACTACAAGGGGTTTGACGCTGTGGATGTCCATCTCGCGGATGATGGAATCGTCCAAGCAATCGGCAGTGGGGACATTGTCATGTCGATGAAGACACCCCAAGGGATGAAGAAAGGTGTGCTCACAAACGTGTGGCACATCCCAAAGTTATCCAGAAACCTGTTCTCGGTCGGCCGCTTCACCAAGGATGTCGGCCCAGTGACGTTCACGAAGGATGGGTGCTATGGAGAAGCGAAAGGGACCAAGTGGAAAATTGGTGCCCGTGAAGGTAAAGAACTGTTCAAGCTGCAAATGACTCCAGTGGCGCCGGAACAAGCAAATGCAGCCAAGTCGTCGGGATGTCAAGGGGGCACCAAGTCGTACCTCTGGCACCTTCGGCTTGGCCACATAGGTCATGATGGACTCAATTGCATCGTGACGAAGAACATTGGAATTGGCATCGACATATCTTCGGTGAAGAAGTGGGACGTGTGTGAAGGTTGTGCTCTGGGAAAACAGACTCGAGTGCGCTTCCAATCAAACACTACAGCTCGCACCTCCAAACTCCTCGAAGTGATTCACAGCGACGTATGCGGACCGATGTCGATGGCAACTTTCAGTGGAAAACGGTACTTCGTGACATTCATTGATGACAAGTCAAGATACTGTGTCGTCTATCTGCTCAAGAGCAAATCTGAAGTTGCGGCGAAGTTCATGGAATACGCTGCGATGGCCGAAACGCAAACCGGAAAGCGCGTGAAGTACCTTCAAAGCGACAATGGGGGTGAATACAAGTCCGACAAGCTGGCACGATTCTGCGCGGAACGGGGAATACAACAAAGGTTCACACCCCCATATACTCCTCAGCTAAACGGAGTAGCTGAGAGAATGAATCGCACGCTGGTCGAGTGTGCGCGTTGCATGATGGAACACGCTGGACTGGGAAAGAGCTACTGGGGTGAAGCAGTGATGACGGCGATGTTTCTTCGAAACCGCTGTCCAACACGTGCCATTCACCAAGACAAGTCTCCATATCAAGTGTGGACGATGAAGAAACCGATTCTGGCCAACCTTAAAGTGTTTGGATGCCACGCGTATGTTCAAGTGCCTCAAGACAAACGCGCGAAGTTCGACTCCAAGTCATCACTCTGTCGTTTCCTGGGATACGCCGAACACCAGAAGTCATATCGATTTGAGGAAGTGTCAACAGGAGCGATCAAGATCAGTCGCGATGCCACATTCATGGAAGACAAGTTTGATGAAGGTCCGCGCAACTACAACGATGAGTCAAGTGTCGTTGAGTTTGATGATCATGATGAGGACGAAGAAAAAGAAGAAGGTAAAACTGACGACGACATGGACTCGAGCGACGATGACAACGAAGACACCAGGTCTTCGAAGAGCAACATCAAGAGACACACGCGCACTCAATCACTTGAGAAAGCTACCGTCATTCCAAGTCCCAAGCGAAGAACATACAGAGGTCCGTCGCTTGAGCATGTGTCAGCGGCTGCAATGGATTTTGAAGCAGCCTACATCGTTGATTCAGTGGGGAAACGCCGACTACATTCAAGTCGGCGATGGAATCAAGCGACTCCGGCAAGTGGAAAGAAGCGTGTGACTCGGAGTTCGATTCGCTTCAGAGAAACGACACGTGGAAATCGTGCCTCTTCCGAAAGGTCGCAAGGCCATCGGGTGCCGATGGGTTTTTCGTGTAAAGGAGAATCAAGATGGCGAAGTTGAACGTTTCAAGGCAAGACTTGTGGCCAAAGGATTCTCACAGAAATTCGGAGTTGACTATGAAGAAACTTTCGCACCGGTGGCCAAGTTCACATCGATTCGTGTGGTGCTCAGTATGGCGGCTAAGTACGGCCTAATGCTACATCAGATGGACGTCAAGACAGCGTTTCTTAACGGCTCCCTCAACGAAGACATCTACATGGACCAGCCGGACGGATACCTGGATGCAACACAGCCGGACTATGTGTGCAAGCTAAAGAGATCACTCTACGGCTTGAAGCAATCGCCTCGCATGTGGAACCAAACAATCGATGGGTTCATGATCAAGATGGGATTCAAGAAGTGCGAATCGGACCACTGCATCTACATCAAGCGAGACGACCAAGACATGATTCTCGTGGTGCTCTACGTCGATGATCTCATCCTGGCCAGCAGCAACAACGAACTCCTCAAGTCAACCAAGATGGCGCTGAGCAAACGCTTCGAAATGACGGATCTCGGTGAGCTCGATTACTTTCTCGGCATGGAGATCAAGAACGACCGTAAGACGGGAATGGTGACTGTACAACAAACCAAGTTTCTCAAGTCCGTGTTAACCAAGTTCGGAATGGATAACAGCAAGCCAGTGAAGACGCCTCAAGATCCCGGCCTGAAGCTAACCAAGAACATGTGTGAACAAGAATGCAAGCACGAAGACACCATGTGCAACGTGCCATATCGAAGTGCTGTCGGAGGCATCATGTATCTCATGGTCGCCACACGTCCGGATCTAGCTGCTGCAGTGGGATCATTATCCCAGTTCTCGTCCGACCCATGCCCGACTCACTGGCAAGCTTTGAAGCGTGTGCTGAGATACCTGCAAGCAACGCCCAATCATGGTCTTGAGTTTACACGTGAAGAAGGAAGCCGTATCTGCGGGTACACCGACGCAGACTGGGCCGGCGACATTGAGTCAAGACGAAGTACAAGCGGCTATGTGTTCATGATGAGCGGAGGATGCATCAGCTGGAAAAGCCAGAAACACCGGACGGTCGCGCTATCTTCAACAGAAGCAGAATACATGGCGCTTTCCGAAGCAACCAAAGAAGCAGTATGGCTCAAGGTGCTTTTGGGGGAACTTGGTGAGATGACAAGCGACGAAGCGATCAAGATGTATGAAGACAACCAAGGATCAATCGCTCTCGCCAAGAACCCGGAGTTCCATAAGAGAACAAAACACATCGACATACGCTACCATTTTGTGCGTGAGAAGGTGGAATCAGGTGAAGTCGTTTTGGAGTATTGCCCGACTCAAGATATGCTGGCAGACATGATGACCAAGCCGATCGCCGCTGTACAATTTGAAAACATTCGCGATCGACTTGGGATCCAAGGTGCCGCAGCTAACGAGTCGAGAGGGAGTGTTGAAAAGACAGCGGCTGTGAAGAAGACACCTCGTCAAGCTGCGTCAAGTGTTGAAGCAAGTGGAAGACCAAGCTTCGCTATACCGGTGGGTACCGGTATGTACCAGTAAGGGCGAAGTCAGGAAATGACGTCATTGGATAACGTCAGTGGGTGACGTCACTGGATGACGTCATTGCATGACGTCAGTGGGTGACGTCAGTGGGTGACGTCACTGGATGACGTCACTGCGAATAATAGGCTTAGAGGTAGTATTCAAAGTTGCGAACTAAGTACCTATTATAAATATATATTCACTTTGCGTTTTGCACTCGGACCAAGAAGTCTAAAGTTCATCACATATAACGGCGAAGGACCAACACGTGGTGATCCCGGTCGGAGAGTCAAGGGAAGTGAAGATCGGGATCGGAGGGGCTAAGATGAAGTTGTGGGTCGCTAGAGGACTAGATTGGGTCCCCACTGTGATCTCGGGGTGGGGTAAGACGAAATACCTGCAGATGACCAACATTGGCGACCGTGAGATCATACTGCCCACCCACACTATATTAGGCATGTGGGTCGAAGGCGATATGGTACCGCAAACTCAAGGTTTGGTGACAGTCGGGTCGGGGAAGTACAAGGAATGGCAAACTCTGGCATATGAGGCTACGACGGATCGAGTGAACGAACTCCCGAAAGAACAGATCGGACCATTTGTAGATCGTCCTACGTATGCCGCTCCCAAACGCATCTTGAAACGTCCGTCTGATGCGTTACAGAACCTGTCTCCGGCGATCTCCACGGTAACGCCGCAAGCTAACGATGACGATTCGCAAAAGGCAGATGCTGTAGTTGCGAGGGAAGTAACGGTCAGGGGAGCCGAACTATCGCGGATGGAGAACGGTCATGAGATCGGTACCCAACATGCAACGAAGGGAGACCGCGACACCGGTCAAGAAGGGCTACGTGACAGATCGTCTCTACCGAAGGCTGAGCCGACTGACCGACTGTTGAAATTGGGCCAGCCGGAAGAGACGAAGGAGCCTAAAGAAGAAATAATGCTAAATACTGAAGAAGTCGAGATTGCAGAAATACCAGTTTATCACCACGAGAGCGGAGATTTGTTTGCGGAAGATATCGAGCAGCATATGGCCGTACTACCAGAGATGTCGGCGACTACGGAAGAAGTTACGATTGAGGACATTCAGATCGGTGATCCCGATGTGCCTCTCACCACAGATCAACAACGGCTCAGATCGCTGATCTGGAAGAGCCGTCACCTCCTCATGGGTAAAGGTAATGCTCTACCACCAGCAGCACGAGGCGCGATCTGTGATATTGATGTCGGTGGGGCAGCACCGATAGCGCAAAGAGTGCGTCCGGTCGCACCCAAATATCGGGAGAAGCTGTCAGATCTCATCAAAGGACTATTAGCAGCCAAAATCGTTCAGCCATCCACGTCACCTTGGGCGTCTCCGATAGTGGTGATCATCAAGAAGAACGGAGTGGATATTCGCCTTTGCATTGATTATCGAAGAGTGAACCAGCTGACGCGTCTGATGGTTTATCCCATGCCGTTGATCAGCGATCTGTTGGAAGATCTGGATAAAGCTCTATGGTACTGTTCGCTAGACATGGCTAGTGGATTCTGGGTCGTCGAAATGACTGAACGAGCAAATCTGATCTCAGCGTTTGTCACACCGTTTGGCTTGTTCGAGTGGCTGCGAATGCCTTTTGGGCTTAAGAACGCGCCCCAGATCTACCAAGGTCTGGTGGACAATGCGTTGTATGGATATCTCAAGATCGGTCAGAGATCAGCCTCTGATGGCCCGATCGACGTGTTCAAAGATGGAGAACCTGAGACAGATCGACGACCGTCTATACTGGGACGCCGATCTTACATTGACGATATTCTCATACCAGCCACGTCATGGGGATCTTTGTACACAAAAGTAGAACGGTTGCTGGAGGCATGTGATACGTGGAATCTGTCTATCAGCCTCACGAAGAGCTTTTGGGGGTGCCGTAAGGTCGATTATTTGGGACATCGAGTGTCGATGGATAGTCTGGAGGCTCAGCCCAAGAACCTAGAGTCGTTGGTTAACATCCCGTTTCCTAGCACGCTACAAGCTATGCAATCCTTTCTCGGGAACTTGAACAACTACCGTCGCTTCATTGAGGATTTCGCGGTATATGCCGCGGTGTTGTATGAGTTAAGAGAATCGGATTTCTTCGAGATCGGCCGATCTCAGCTTACAGCAGGAGACGAATGCTCCAACGAGGGTCTATGGACGGAAGCCAAGGTTGCTTTCACTATGCTAAAAGCTAAGATAGCTACAGCTCCCATGCTCAAGCATTTCGACCCAGATCGGTCCCCCGTAATCGTGGTCTACGCTAGCAAGTGGGCTGTCTCAGCGGCCCCTGATACAGGAGTACGATGGCGTTTATCATCCGGTTACGTTTACTAGCCGCACTTTAAAGCCTAATGAGCTTAACTACGGAACGGTAGAAAAAGAAGTGCTGGCGCTACTTCGTGTGTTGGATGTATGCTATACTACGCTTGCCTCGCGGGAGATCACTGTACTGACCCGACATTCTACGTTAGCCTGGTTGATGCAGTCTCGAGGGCTCAACGGGAGATTAGGACGGTGGGCTGCTTTGTTGTCAAATTGGACTATGGAGGTGAAGAAATGTGAAAGAGGAGAGGAAGAGATCCTGGGCATGTTAGCAGCGAGTATCACTCCGAGAGGAGAAGTGGAAGAGATGCTGATTGCGATCTCCCCACGAAAAGACTGTCGACTCAAAATATCGATGCCTCCTCCAACGGTGGAAACAGATGAGGAGTTGCTGGTGGCCAGTTTCGATGGATCGGCTAGGATAAAAAAGAAAGGAGGGTCGTTCAGTGCCGTGATATGGAAGTTACCCGAATGGACGATCGTGGCGGCCGAATCGAGATATGTTCACGATCTGACTGTGAATGAAGCTGAGTATAATGGCTTGCTACTGTGCTTTGAGTTACTCGCCGATCTGGATAGGGGGCGAGTAATACTGTGTGGAGATTCCAGTCTGGTGATTCTGATGAACTTTAGACTTCTTGGTCCGAGTGCAAAACGCAAAGTGAATATATATTTATAATAGGTACTTAGTTCGCAACTTTGAATACTACCTCTAAGCCTATTATTCGCAGTGACGTCACCCACTGACGTCACCCACTGACGTCATGCAATGACGTCATCCAGTGACGTCATTTCCTGACTTCGCCCTTACTGGTACATACCGGTACCCACCGGTATAGCGAAGCTTGGTCTTCCACTTGCTTCAACACTTGACGCAGCTTGACGAGGTGTCTTCTTCACAGCCGCTGTCTTTTCAACACTCCCTCTCGACTCGTTAGCTGCGGCACCTGGGATCCCAAGTCGATCGCGAATGTTTTCAAATTGTACAGCGGCGATCGGCTTGGTCATCATGTCTGCCAGCATATCTTGAGTCGGGCAATACTCCAAAACGACTTCACCTGATTCCACCTTCTCACGCACAAAATGGTAGCGTATGTCGATGTGTTTTGTTCTCTTATGGAACTCCGGGTTTTTGGCGAGAGCGATTGATCCTTGGTTGTCTTCATACATCTTGATCGCTTCGTCGCTTGTCATCTCACCAAGTTCCCCCAAAAGCACTTTGAGCCATACTGCTTCTTTGGTTGCTTCGGAAAGCGCCATGTATTCTGCTTCTGTTGAAGATAGCGCGACCGTCCGTTGTTTCTGGCTTTTCCAGCTGATGCATCCTCCGCTCATCATGAACACATAGCTGCTTGTACTTCGTCTTGACTCAATGCCGCCGGCCCAGTCTGCGTCGGTGTACCCGCAGATACGGCTTCCTTCTTCACGTGTAAACTCAAGACCATGATTGGGCGTTGCTTGCAGGTATCTCAGCACACGCTTCAAAGCTTGCCAGTGAGTCGGGCATGGGTCGGACGAGAACTGGGATAATGATCCCACTGCAGCAGCTAGATCCGGACGTGTGGCGACCATGAGATACATGATGCCTCCGACAGCACTTCGATATGGCACGTTGCACATGGTGTCTTCGTGCTTGCATTCTTGTTCACACATGTTCTTGGTTAGCTTCAGGCCGGGATCTTGAGGCGTCTTCACTGGCTTGCTGTTATCCATTCCGAACTTGGTTAACACGGACTTGAGAAACTTGGTTTGTTGTACAGTCACCATTCCCGTCTTACGGTCGTTCTTGATCTCCATGCCGAGAAAGTAATCGAGCTCACCGAGATCCGTCATTTCGAAGCGTTTGCTCAGCGCCATCTTGGTTGACTTGAGGAGTTCGTTGTTGCTGCTGGCCAGGATGAGATCATCGACGTAGAGCACCACGAGAATCATGTCTTGGTCGTCTCGCTTGATGTAGATGCAGTGGTCCGATTCGCACTTCTTGAATCCCATCTTGATCATGAACCCATCGATTGTTTGGTTCCACATGCGAGGCGATTGCTTCAAGCCGTAGAGTGATCTCTTTAGCTTGCACACATAGTCCGGCTGTGTTGCATCCAGGTATCCGTCCGGCTGGTCCATGTAGATGTCTTCGTTGAGGGAGCCGTTAAGAAACGCTGTCTTGACGTCCATCTGATGTAGCATTAGGCCGTACTTAGCCGCCATACTGAGCACCACACGAATCGATGTGAACTTGGCCACCGGTGCGAAAGTTTCTTCATAGTCAACTCCGAATTTCTGTGAGAATCCTTTGGCCACAAGTCTTGCCTTGAAACGTTCAACTTCGCCATCTTGATTCTCCTTTACACGAAAAACCCATCGGCACCCGATGGCCTTGCGACCTTCGGAAGAGGCACGATTTCCCACGTGTCGTTTCTCTGAAGCGAATCGAACTCCGAGTCACACGCTTCTTTCCACTTGCCGGAGTCGCTTGATTCCATCGCCGACTTGAATGTAGTCGGCGTTTCCCCCACTGAATCAACGATGTAGGCTGCTTCAAAATCCATTGCAGCCGCTGACACATGCTCAAGCGACGGACCTCTGTATGTTCTTCGCTTGGGACTTGGAATGACGGTAGCTTTCTCAAGTGATTGAGTGCGCGTGTGTCTCTTGATGTTGCTCTTCGAAGACCTGGTGTCTTCGTTGTCATCGTCGCTCGAGTCCATGTCGTCGTCAGTTTTACCTTCTTTTTCTTCGTCCTCATCATGATCATCAAACTCAACGACACTTGACTCATCGTTGTAGTTGCGCGGACCTTCATCAAACTTGTCTTCCATGAATGTGGCATCGCGACTGATCTTGATCGCTCCTGTTGACACTTCCTCAAATCGATATGACTTCTGGTGTTCGGCGTATCCCAGGAAACGACAGAGTGATGACTTGGAGTCGAACTTCGCGCGTTTGTCTTGAGGCACTTGAACATACGCGTGGCATCCAAACACTTTAAGGTTGGCCAGAATCGGTTTCTTCATCGTCCACACTTGATATGGAGACTTGTCTTGGTGAATGGCACGTGTTGGACAGCGGTTTCGAAGAAACATCGCCGTCATCACTGCTTCACCCCAGTAGCTCTTTCCCAGTCCAGCGTGTTCCATCATGCAACGCGCACACTCGACCAGCGTGCGATTCATTCTCTCAGCTACTCCGTTTAGCTGAGGAGTATATGGAGGTGTGAACCTTTGTTGTATTCCCCGTTCCGCGCAGAATCGTGCCAGCTTGTCGGACTTGTATTCACCCCCATTGTCGCTTTGAAGGTACTTCACGCGCTTTCCGGTTTGCGTTTCGGCCATCGCAGCGTATTCCATGAACTTCGCCGCAACTTCAGATTTGCTCTTGAGCAGATAGACGACACAGTATCTTGACTTGTCATCAATGAATGTCACGAAGTACCGTTTTCCACTGAAAGTTGCCATCGACATCGGTCCGCATACGTCGCTGTGAATCACTTCGAGGAGTTTGGAGGTGCGAGCTGTAGTGTTTGATTGGAAGCGCACTCGAGTCTGTTTTCCCAGAGCACAACCTTCACACACGTCCCACTTCTTCACCGAAGATATGTCGATGCCAATTCCAATGTTCTTCGTCACGATGCAATTGAGTCCATCGTGACCTATGTGGCCAAGCCGAAGGTGCC